TAAATACAGCAATGAGAAGAGACTTCCCTAAAGGTGTTTTTGTGTGTGTGTGTGTGCCTGTTTCCTCCCCAATATTTCAGTCTTGATCTGCTCTTCCAGTGGGCAGGGCCTCTTCCATACAGATGACTCACAATGAAGCATTCTCCAAATGCAAGGTGAATAAGTATCTGCAGGGGATTTAGGCTGACATCAGTCATTCCAGATCCTCTATATTGGATATGAACTTGGGGCAGGAAAGAAGTGAAGCACTTGTTCATTGAATCATTCAGACACTTAACTCATCTTAGCCATACCTCAGAAGGTAATTACACTCCCAACAGCAAAAGTGAGCTGAAATCAATTTTGCCAGATGAGTCCAGATGAAAGGTATGATAAAGGCACTGGGAGCTATAGGAGTCTTAGTTTCCATAACCAGACCTTGTTACAGTCACCATCAGGCTTTCTAATGCAAGTGGAGTAATCCTTTCAAGGTGATTGAGGAATCCTGTCTAGCACAGACTACAGCTTCTTGCACTGACCCCAAACGAATGGGAGAGATCATACAATACACTCTCTCTGTGGCTGCTGCCCTCTTGTGTAAAATCAGTCTGGGCCTTATGCAGTCTCAGTTCTGTGCTGAGTTACTCTAGAAATAAATGCATTTATCTTCTGTTAAGTTATTATTTTTCAGACACAGGGGCAAAGTGGCCCTGTGTTTTTAAGGACACAGGTTACTTAGATAGCTTCCAGCACTGCCCACGGATGTGTGGGGCTGCTTGTGCCTTGAAAGTTGCTTACTCCACTGATTTGAGCCATATCTACCAACTGCACTGATGACCTCTTGCAATTGGACTTTGTCTAAACCTAAGTCTTCATGAATTAGGACTTGTAGCCAGAGCAAAACTTCACTCAAGCACCGCCAAAAACCAGCTTCTAGCCCTGAGGATTAAATCAACCTAGGCAATTCCTGACAGAAATTTGCTTAAACTCATCTAAAATACTCCAGTGAAGAGGATTCCAGGCCCCCTAATTCATCAGTCTTTCCTCAGCCTCAGAACCACTGAATATGTAAGCTTAAATTTTTTTTGCTGCAAGTTGATTTCTTGCTGTCTGAAGCCTATGAACAAGAACAAACAATTTTACTGCCTTCTTTATAACAGCTTCCTGCTGGGAAGAGGTTAAGTCCTCCCTCCCATGTCTATAGTTGTTTTTTTGTGGGCTTTTTTTTCCAAAAGAGAAAGACTGAATACAGTAAATTCCTCCCCAGCTTCCTCATAGGTCATGCTTTCTAACTCCTTTACCATACTTACTGATCTGCTTTGGGCCCTTTCCAATTTGCCCACATCTTTCTGAGCTTGACAGAGCACTCACAGCGCCAAGTAAAGATGAATAATTACCTCCCAGGTCCTACGGATTGAGCTGTCCCATTAATATGGCCCAGGATCACGTTTCCCTCTTTCCTTTAAGGAAAAAAACCCAAAACACACAAGACCCTACCACCTACCTCCTGCCCCAGGCTTCCTTTATTTAGTTTAGAAACACATTAAACACCCTCCAGATCCTTTGCAGCTGAGCTGGTGTCGGCAAGACACCTCTTGTTTTTATAAATTCCATTTTCCGAGTGGAAATTCGCATTACTCTAACAAATTATATAATTCCACTTTTTGTCTTGCGTTTTCCAGATCATTCTGAATGTGGCTCTATATTTTATAATGCCAACAATCACAGCCTGTGGGCTCTCATCAGTAATTTTATGTGTATACTCTTGTTTCACTGAAGGATTAATGAAAAAAAAGTCATAGAAGGGGATCCATGACGTAAGGCTGTAATACTGCTGGGATGTAGAATGTGACTTTTTTTTAAAAAAATACCATTTTCTAAAGGATCTAACCCTGCAAAGTCAGACAATAATGATAAATGCCTTCAAAGGCTTGTAAGAAAATTCCTTCCCTGGTATCTCTGAGTACAACATTAATAGTGTTCGTATCAAAGATAGACTCTTCTTGCAATAAAGTGTGGTATGTTTTGTGTAAGGAAATACAGAAGCTCACAGGAGACCTGTCATTAATGATAACAGCTAACTTTCAATCTCGTGGGGATATTTTCCTGCCTAGAGAGATTTGGTGAAAATTCTTGTGTTCCCACATCAAATAATGTGTGAGAAGACAGAGAGCGACAAAAATTGCTCTACCAGAATGGCCTTAGTGAGGACCAAAAAAACCCAAAAAAGATAAAATATCCCTATCTCCCTATCTCAGGTAGATCAAACTTCTGATTCTTACTGTTAGCCTGAAGGGTCTGTAAAAACATATTAAGAAATGTGAAAATGGTACTGAAGAATTCACAACACTTTTCATGTGCTTTGTGAATGTGCTATACCTCCATCAGAAATTATTTTAGTTATGGCTTTTAATAAAGCTGCCTGAATATTTCACATCAAATGACTCCTCTTTGGAAAACTGAGTTTTAAAGTCAGCAGCTTTGGGGAGCTTTTGAGGAAAAGTCCCAAGCTTTCTTGGCCTTTTAGTTGGTTGGACTTTGGTTGGGTGTGGGTTTTTTAACACCCTCAGCCTAACTAGACAGGTCTTGGTGTTCATATTTCATGTCTGTCAAAAAATATTCTGACGTAAAACTACAAAAAAAGTCACACAGAACTGTAGCTGCAAAGAGTATTTTTTTATGTCCCTAGTACTCCTTTCACTGAGTTTTAATTTTGGCCTTATGTCCTTTTCTTTTTCGCTTGGCCTTGTTTCTCTGCTCCCTTTTACAACATATCAAGACCACAACATATGCAGGGCAGCAAACAGTGCTCTGGTCTGCGAGTAACAGTTGCGTAAAAATAATCCCAGTTTATCTAATTGTGCCTGTATTGGGTCTATTAAATAAAAATAATCATCATGATACCTATAAAGACCTGTACTTTATTTTATGTGTCCCCTGCAGTGGCCACTTCTGATAGGGAATGACTCAGAAAAGTCATTCTGAGGCATTGTAAGGGAAGAGAATAATAATTTTTCTATGATCGGACATTTTCATTTTTCTGAGTAGTGGATTCACTGCCCTCTACTGCTTGAGATGAGCACAGAGCCATTTGGGAACTGCTTAACTTCTCCCAACAAGCCAACTCTAATACAGCCTGACTTGGAAAACCTGTGATCAGAAAATAGCAGTCTCACCTGCCACGGAGAACTAAACTTTGTACTGGTAGTAAAGCTTTCCATTAAAATAACATGGAATTACAGTGAAGGTCTTTGTTATTATCTCATTAAGGTAAAACTACATTATACTGCTTTGTACAAAGGGCACAGCATGTGTGTGCACCTACTCAACAGGAGTAAAAAAATCAGGAATTATCAAGACAGATAGATCGAATTCCACCACCCTACTTTTAATACATAATCTATCTTGTTCACAGAGACATTTGGTTTTCCTGGTGGTGATCAGCATGATACATAAATCCAGGTTTTAAAAGTGCAAGCAGCTTTTCAACTGTGCTTAGTGTACAGGGGGATTTTCAGCACAGCATAGACTGTACTGAAAAAAACCCCCTGTGACTTGCATATAAATAATTCATGTATTTAAGATATAGTATCACAATGTAATGGCACTTAGGTCACTGAGCTCATGAGAAGCACAACAGGAACAGGGGGAGTAACAAGGTGAAAATGGGAAGGATATTTTTATCTCCAGATAGCAGCTGGTGACAATATCATCACACCCATTCCACATGGCAAATTTTGAAATCCCAATTCAACAGCTTGCTGAGCACTTCTCACTCTGTTCAAAATACACAAGTAGTGTCACACTGCAGCTTCAGATGCTCTGGGGATTGCAGTGACTTGCCAAGAGAAACTGCTGAGGAAGAGAGGCAGCTAACACCAGCCCATTGATAATTCTCAGCAAGTACTCTACGCTGAGGGCTGCTTTTGTGCATTTCTTGTAAAAACAGATTTCTGATGTACAGTTTTCTTTGAAGGAATATGACCCCCACATTAAAAAGAAAGGAATGGTTGCCATACTTCAAAACAACCACCAACTGTATAAAGCTAGAGATAGCAGTTAAACTAGTCAAAGTACAATTTTATATAGTGGCAGCTACATTTTCATATGTATGATTTACGATAATACCATAAAATCTTTATCATATTTTTTCTATATCACAGGCAAGCAAGAATAATAGGGTAGAAGACAAAAAAAAAAATCCCACATTTACACAGTGTTCTTTATATATGTTGTTCACACATCTAGTTTTAATAACAAACATGTATAATCACATACAACCACATATTACTTAAAATTACTTAATCACTTGGAATTACTTAACAGAAAAATAATTACTTAGCATTTTCCCTCAATCTCATTTCTTTTACCCAGTTCTTTACTTCTTGCTTGGGCACTCAGAACAAGTATTATGGCAAATATGTTTCTAAAACAGCTACAGGGAAGGACTCCGGGATTAGTAAGATGTTTACAAATATTTTGGAAATTAGTGGCTTTTCAAAGAAATCTTTATCCTTAACTAAATTCAGGCTTGCACAATCACATACACACAATACAGCTGGTTTTTGTAAGATTGTGCATTTTGTGCTGCCGAGTGAACCTTCAGCTAGTCAGAGGAGGCCTGAGGAAATGATTGTACAGTGACAACTTACAGACTGCTGGTGTCTGTTTACAGCACAATGGTGTTGCTTAATCCTATTTGTCTCCTGCAGCGGCATTTCAGTAAGAAGACGCTGCTTTTTTTCTTAAAGAAGAGCTTGGTCTCACTATATTATTTGAAGACTTTTTAATATGCAGAATATATTATTGTCCGCATGACTGGAAACTACTGTGCACAGAAAACAGAAGCCTCCTTATCTAGAGGGGCACGAGAGACAGATATTGGCATAAAGCTAAAAAAAAGTTTGCAGGGTCAGTTTCTAATGGCATTCATCAAAATTTTGAAGTTACTATAAAATAGGAGATTGCAAATGGAATAGAAATATAAGCCAATTCAAATGATCAAATATCCTTGTACTAACCATTTTATATGTTCGATCGATGAGGACTAAAATTTCAGGTCTGATGTCGTGCCTCCTTGGTTTTCAGCTCTTTCAACTTTTTTCTTCAACATAGCCAGCCAGTGTAGCAGGAGAAGCTCAAGCGATGCAGGATTTTATACCTTGCTGTAAACAAACAAAAAAGAGCTTTTACCTCAGTTAAGACTTCCCTTTCTCAGGTCCAAAAGTTAACTTTGGAGCTTACAGTCCTTTATTATTGCCTTGGACTAGGCATTTGTATAACAACGTATTTGTATTTACATTTTACAAATGGAAACACTATGTAATAGATTTACGTCATTATTAAACAGTTAGTGTTGATCACATAGAAACTTTTATTTATTTAGCAGTTAGCAGTTCTAATGTCCCTCTGGACAACAGGTAACAAAATGAAAACAAATTCAAGTGCAGAACAGTACCTTACAATTAGAGCACGAAACTTTCAGTGGAAATCACACCGAGGAAGATAACTGAGAATACATTAAGACAACTGACTGACCAGGTGTAGGCACATTTTAAGAAGCCTTTTCAATATCCTAAAATTGCTGGGTGTATCAATAAAAATGAGAAGGAAAAGGTTCATTGCCATCTGAACATGCATCCAGCAAAAGCCAGAATTAAGTACTAAACCCTCAACCAGTTGCTTGTTCGGGAAACAGTGTGGGGATTTGTTTAATCCCAGAAGGAAACTGTCCAGGAACTGTGGAGAGGCAGCCCGGGATTCCTGCCCGGAGACAGCTGTGAGGGGGATCGAGTGAGGGCCGCGCCTTCGCGGCAGGGTACAGCGGCACACTGGGAACATCTGGGAAGGAAGAGGGGACTGTCACGGGGACACTCCTCGGGGGCTTCCTCCGTGAGACCACGGGAGGTGCGGAGGCCCCTCAGAGGGGAGAGGGACAGGACAGTTTCGACTCCTGCAGGGAGTGAGGGGCTGGTCCGTGTGGAGCCGCTCCAGGAGTGAATACGACAGTAACGAAAGGCCTTTAGCAGAACCCTATTGCAGACTTATGGCCACATTCCCTAAGTTTACAATAAATAATCCCTCACGGTGATTCCCGCACTGATGCGGTCGCCGGTCCGCCCTCAGAGCCGGCCGCCAGGGGGCAGCGCGGAGCTGCGCAAAGGCGCGGGAAGCGGACACAGCCGCACCCCCCCATCCCTCAGATAATTCCCTGAACCTCGGCACAGCAAATGCTCCCAGTGCCAGCACCGCCAGCCAGCTGCTCCCTCCCTGCCCTGTATTCAAAATACACTTAGTACGTAACGCTGATTTCACCAATAACTCTGCGAAAAGTACCCGTGTGCACAGCAGTTTGTCCGGAGTGGTACTCCCCCCAGCATACTTGAACGGCTTCTCATAGTGTTAATAAGAAGCCAGCATCAGTATGCCAGTGTATTCCAAAGCATTCTAAAGGCACGTCTCAGTGTCAGTAATTTTATTTCTTCTGAATAACAAATGTCAAAGTAGAGAGTGTTATTCTTCCTGCTATTCCTGGCTCAGGGCACTGGGTGGATGAAGGAATCTCCCTAGCTCAAGCTATTCAGCCACTGCTGCCTATGCTTCTGCTTTGCCACCAGCTAGCGCGCCCTGTCTTACCTTCTGCATGACGCAAGACTGCTCTTTCCTTATGTTACTGGAATGAAGTGATAGCTTCCAGTTGCTATGTTTTTTCACCCCTCGTTCAGACAGTGTAGCTGTTCCCAGTTTTACTCACCTGAAGCCAAACAGGTTATGTCACAGCTAGCTGGACAATATAAAAGCAGAACTAGAACCCAAGGCAAGTTAAGACCAGCATCAGTTGGCCCTGATGAGGACAAACACCAGTCCTGTCTCCAATTCAGAATTCATTGCAGGAGCTGTGTCAGACTACAGCAGAAGTGGACCCAGTGTCCTTAATTTAGCTCTGTTACCTCACCTAGCCCTTACTTAAGCAAAATCATATTGGCCCCAACTGCTGTGCCAACATTGGCAACTGCTGCTAAAACCAGTGTTACCTGGGCTGCCTCTGAAAATTCAACGAGTCCAGAAAGTCTCCCATGCTTCATAGATATATTATCCACTGAAAGCCAAACAGTTCCTCTTAAAACTGCAGGAGAAATGACATTGAGTAAGTTAATTGAGAACACAGGTTTAAACAATTCTGTTCAGACATTTTTTCCTACCTATAAATAAAACCCAGAGATTAAGGGCAATGGAGTTATGTGTTTGCTGGATGGTTCTATGTAAGGAAAAAATAGGCTTTAGAAGGCTTCCCAGCAAAGCCAGCACTTCAGATACCATTCCATTTTTCTGCTGTAAACTGTGACTACTATTCTTAGCCCACCTGACTACTGTCTCTGATGGCTTTGCTGCAGCACCCGTTCAGTTTGTACTCAGGTTAACTAATAAAACTGTAGCTGTAAAGGTTGAATCTGTAACATCAAGTTTTCCCTAGTTTCCCCATGAAGGACATGATGGTTATTTGTTGGGTTTTCCTGGTGTTGTCACGTGTTTAGCATAGCAAGTTGTCTTTTGGCACCAAACTGTGCTTGGAACTATCTCCTCTCTCTTGCATCATCACTCGTGATCAAGAGCCTTCTCTGACATTTTTAATGGCTAAAGCACTTGTTTCAAGAAGTTGAGAGAAATTAGAACATTGAAAGCCAAATACTGGGTCGTCAGTTTTTATCCCAGTTCCCCCTCACCCACAAAAGACATCCAAGTCACAGTATCTTTGTGTTTTCCACTTCTATACAGAATTTTTCTTCCTCACTGAGTAATAAATATTCTCACCTATTGCAAAAAAGTAATGGTCTCCCCAGCACAGCCTTATATAGCTCTTTGAGTAGAATCTCTCTCTAAAAATAGAAATCTCTTTGACATTGAAGCTCCAGGCAGCATGGAAGCTGTTGCATTTCAAGCTGAAGCTTTTGGAAAGCGTGCTCTGTATTTCCTTTACAAGTGTCCCACAAATGTGCAAAATGCACGGCCTGTCCTGTCATGAACTTTGAGTAAATGAGATTTTGTTTGCAGCCAGTGCTGTTGCAGCAATAGCTTCTTAGAAATAAGTAATAAAAAAAGAATGCAGCACTGGCAAAAGGTGCTGGATTTACAGCTCTGCAAAAATAACACCCTTTCTTTTCCCCCCCTGCCCTCAGACACAAGTGCCAGCCTTTCCCAGACTGCCTGACTGGGAAAGACAGCCTGAGTTAAGCCCAGCACTTGCACTGAGGACAGGACAGATGAAACCAAGCAAACACATTTCTCACACATCAGGGTAGAAGTTTTTTCAGTTCTCAGGCTGACATTCCTCTTGGGAATACACAGAAAGGAAAGGGCAGGTGGAACAGAAACCCTCTTGGTCCAGCTTTTGAAGATGTTGACAACTTGCTCTTACTAAAGCCAGCAAAAGAACAAGCCAACTCTGCCAGTGTGCCTGAATGGGAGACTGTAAGGATAGGTGGTCTAATTCTTCAGAATATTAAGTCCAGGACCGTTAAACAGAGCTCAGCACCTCTGTGTCAGACTTGCTCAGACATGACTGTACAAAGGTAACAGTTGGACTATTGACATGAGATCCAGAAATCTGGCTCAACTTCCACAGTTAGTGTCAGAGTAAAACAACATTTCCTCTATGTTCTGACTACTGCTATCCATTTTTCATGCCAAAAAAGTTCTTCCAGCACTGTAATATTCCCCTGGCAGCATATTTAACATGAATTTGAAAGTGCTGATATTTTCAAATTAAGACATACAAGTGAGTAGTGATAGTAAAATCCAAACGAGGAGATGGGGATATGATTTTAGCCTGCCTTGAGAGAGATTCATTCTGCCTTCAGTTCCAGGCCAAGTCTTATGCTCCACTTGTAAAATACTTAATTTTTACTCTGGTTGGCCTCACACTGGAATTCTGATACACAACCTTACACAGTATTTTATTTAAGAGCTGAAAGGAGCTCACAAATACAAGTCTCCATGTCAATTTTATGAAACATGCACAAGTTGAAAAAGGGGTTCCAGGGTTGCCTACACAAGAAAGGAGTGAGGGGGTGTTAGAGTGATCTTTTCTATAGAGACACTTAGTCCTATATATTTTATAATTATCTTCAGGGAAAGACATTTCAGATTAATCCACTGAAAAAGAAGGAAGAGTTTTATGTGATGGTTTGCATCAATTTAACTATGACCATTTTAAAGCTTGATAAAACTAAAATTAGGTAAATTCTGGATGTATTCTGGAAAAAAAATGGAGACCAATGATTAAGGGCTTTAATTGTTTGATTAAAAGCACAAGTTAAAAAACCTGCTCAGTGTTGTTATCAGGCAAGTGGCAAAGCCCACAGAGGGAATGCTTTTGTCTCTTAATTCCCTGGAGATTTTGGAAACATCTTTCAAGAGCCTCAAGTCACCATTTCCCCCAACATTAGGGCCTCCAGCACAAGCACAGAAACCTTGTTTCCTCTTCTGAGAGGAGAAGTAGACCACGGACCTCCCTTGGATATCCTTGGTGTACATCCACCCTCTGAGCCATCGTTGCTCCTTTCCTTCAAGCTTTGCTTGAGCCACCAGGGAGAGGTGGGGCTGATGAACATCCAAATTCCCTGATGAATCACAAAACAGGAGCTGTCCAGGACAGCAGCCAGGCGACACGGGAAGGCCTCTACACAAACCTACGTGTTGGCGCTCACAAAACATTCACTCGGTTTGGCAGAGCTTTCCTTTCTGAAAACCAAGATGGGCTGGCCTGAGATCGCCCTCAGTTTTAAAAGGTTGTTTCAAAACATCACACCCTAAGCATGAGGGATGCTAAGGGAATTTGCCAGGTGAAATCCTGGTAAGTACAGCTACCAGCTCTCACAGAGGACCATTTTCTTTAGTCTAATAAACAGTAATTTTATTTAATTGAACAGTCCAGCTGAAGATGACTGCAAGCAATCAGAGCTGGAACTCAGTTTCTGTATTGAGCTCGCAGCTGAATTCAGACCACTCTTTGATTCATACTTCTCCAATGACTTGGAATTCTGTGCTTTCCTTTGAAGATTATTAGGCACTGAGCACTTTCCTTGTACATAACACAATAACTGTTTAATGCATATTATCTAGATGTTGCATTTACCAGATGCTCACATTATTTGGTTTCTTTGAACAATCTGTCCCGTTTGTGCTAGTGCAGTCCCCAAAGCCCCCCTACCCTGTAATCTGAGACCTGGCCCCGTTGTGCTGAGCATTGTACACACAGGAACTCTCACAATAAACACAGTGCCACTGCTTTCTCCACTGGGAGTGAGGCAGAGCTTCCAGTTACCTCTTCATGATCCTGCTGGTGTTGACTGAACTGCTGCCTCAGCAGTGAGGCAAGTAGCAAGAAATACATCACTGGGCACACATTTCAGGATAACCTTGACATCATTGCCAGTGATAGCTCCAGCCCTCGCTGAAACAGAAACCTGCAAGACGGCATTTGCTCCTTCTTGCTGCCTTTGCTATTCCTTGTGGGTGGGTGATCATATGCCATGCCTGTGTATTTGCAAGCTCATGACATAATGTTAAGGGATTGTCATAAACAATACCATTTCGGGGAATGGACTGAGGAGGCCGAACATTTCAACTGTCACTGGAGTAGGTTTGCTTTAAGGATTAAATGTGTTGTCTCAAATCCAGATTTGTAATGAGAACCCTCCTGCCTTTCCCTCTCTGCCTGCTCCCCGTGCCCCCTACTTCAGGAGAATTTGGGCAGATGACCAATGGAGTGAAAATGAGACAGGGGAGTCACACAGGACAAAGTAATTGATACAGGATATGAAGGTAGGAATGAGTGGATTTGACAAAGTAGCTACACTAGCAGCTGAGTGGCTCCTTTGCCTGCTAGTAGGATGGATTTGTAGCCTGTATGTCAGTAATTAAGAAGTCAGTCATCTCCCCCACTCCCACCACCCCAAAAAACCCTCACACCCCTTATGTCCCTCCCCAAATGTTGCTTAATCTGAAAGGCAGGTCACAAGCCAAAGTTTCAAATTACACAAACATACTTTGGACTAAACTGAGAAAAGTACAAAGACCTCCAACAAACTCTTTTTTTCTGCTTTTCCCCCTGTTTTTAAGAAACTGAAGGTTTTAGTTACTTCTCACATCCATCTGCTGCTTTCTACCAGCAGCCACAAGTCCAGGCTAGGAATGTTGTTGTCTTTGTGACAGTGTGCACATACCCCATCATTCTCTTAGCACCACCATAAGATATGTATTTCAGATGGCAGCTCTTGCTTTTTACCTTTCATTTACCTGTCCTTTGATTGCAATTTTGGTATGAGAAATGTGCCACTTTTTCTACTGGAAACACCTAGTGCATGGTCTTAGGACCATACTAAAAGTGCAAGCATAGAGCAGTTCCACTGCTGTATCAGTGACAAGAGCTCAGCCCAAGATTAGGCAGTGGATATTCTTATCACAAGAACTGTCTATTGTAGCACTTCACATGTTGCCTTCGACTGTTCAGTAGCAGATAATACAGACATTTTAATTCTCTATTTAGTCTCCCTTAACCTTATCATCACAGAAATTCTATTCTCCAGGCCATAAGCTATACTGTAGTTAAAGACTTTTGATGCTACTGAAGCACTCAGTAGAGATGCATTACTTTCTCAATCTCAAAGAAGTGTTGACAATTCAATTATCTCTCTGCACAGGGGGAGAGTGGGAAAGAAAAAATGAAATGTAGCTACAGTGTTCATGGAGAGATCAAAGTTGGGTAGGATTTGAAAATAAGCCAGGAAGCATAGAGCCAGGGCAAGAGGGCAAGAAGGAAAGGGGAATGGAAATGGAGCAGACAATGCATAGCCACCCTACTGAAAGGCAATGGCATCATTCCTCTCCTTGCCACACGTTCCCTAATTCACTGGTAAAAAAGTCAATCAGCACACCATTTTAGTTCTGACACATCAACAAGTACGTGGCAGTACACCCCAAAAAAAGGACAATCCAGACCCAGGCTATGCACTGGCTGTGCCGTACAAAATGAACAACAGACTCTTAAGTGCTGCACACCCGAGCTCACTATTGGGAAATCTGCTGCGCCGCCAGCATACCAGATCAATATTTCAGAGGTCATTATCTCATCCCTTCTTCAGCTGCTGACTTTGGATTGCTGCCAGAAAAAGGCAACCACTAGAAAGATGATACACCAGTACATTAGGCAAGGCTTTGGGGAATTTGAGCAGGCTTTTCTTTTCAACAAGACCAGTCTGCTCTCTGGTTCCAAACGGCACAAGCGCTCCGTCAATATGTAAATGGTCAAACAGGTTCTCCAGCCCTCCCACACCAGCACGTACAAGACAAACTGTATTTGTCAAATAGACTGTGAAGAGAACTGAACATTTATATAAATACTCCTCACGTTGTGGGAAGGAGGAGACAACAGCCTCCAAGTTGAAGCAGAGTAAAGAAGTGTGATTTCACATGTACAGTGTAATGGAAGGACTAACCAGAGACAGAGTTGAACAACAAGCAAACCAATAACTAGATGGTACCATCTCCACTCTGCAAGAATGTCCCATGAGCTTTTACATGAGCAAACCATGACTGAAGTCCTGCTTTAGTTTTGAGTTGGTAAGCAAAGCCAGAACCTTTGCAATTGGACCAGTGGATTTTAAAGTTAAAAAGTACCTTTGCTTTATATGGCTTAGCATCCTGTATCTCATATTTGGTCATGAACTACTATATTATACCACTGTTCAACTTTTCTAATGATGGTCTTTGTGATAATGGCAGCACTCCCATCTACTCAGGTAGTAACATTCTATCTCCCCTTCTGCAAAGACTTTTTGAACATATTTTCTCTTTTCTCCTTTGATTTCTGTTATATTTTCTCATAACCCATTTAGAAATATTAGTTTTACAGACAGATATGAAAGCCATCTCTACAACAGTGGATGTCTCTAGGAGTTTTCCCTTAAGACCAGAGGGAGAAAAGAGTGTGCTGAACTACCCAATACCCAATATCATTATCCTGCTACTTGGGAAGAATTTGGTGACAGGAAATATTGTGTGCTTACCTTGAAGCCAAAGATACTTAATTATTCAAAGCTTCCTCTCAGGAAAAGCATTTGGGAGATAGCTTAGAAGCATCATTGTTTAACCCAGTTAATTAACAGACATTTGCATGGACTCACTAGTCTTACTGTGTAAATCCTACACAAACTCCCTGAAGAAAGGGACACAGAGACTTTAAGGTAAAACATAGAAAACTGTATTTTGCAATACTCGTACCATCTGTATTTATACTATCTCTATTTATAGTAGCTAAAGTCACAACACTTGAGCTTTAGCATCTGACATGTTCTGGGGCAAGGCTCCTCGTTGCATTCCCATACATTCAGAGGAGCTGGGAGGGCTTGGATCTCACACTCCCGGTGAATTTGCCCTGTCTGAAGGTTTCAAATTGAGTCTTTTATGCTGACTGATTCTGAAGGAAAGTAGCTTATCTGTTGGAGAAATTCAGTATAGACAGGATGGCAGCTGGAATCAGCTTGATGGAAAGCCACCTCCAGGAGGCACAGATGCAAATAGCTTGAACCACATCATGCAGCAGCCTCATGCTCAACTGTAGGCATGCTAATGAAAAGAGACTAGAATTTGGTATACCAGCACTAAAGAGGCCCTTTGTAAGGGTAAAATGCACACTGCCATCATGGAACCTGTATACAGAATACATACAGACAGGTAATTCATCCCACTCCAACTCCAGTCAGTGACACTGTTACCTCAGTAGTATTTCACCCATCATGCTTAAGATTAATTCCTTAAACTTGAGCCCTGTCCTGCCAAAAATGCCGTCAGCTTAGACGAGAACCCGATATTTCCAATGAATATATGTGGATGCAAAGCCCAGACAGGAGTTCCAAGCAAGAACATTTCATAGAATCATAGAATCAGCCGGGTTGGAAGGGACCTCTGAGACCATCAAGTCCAACCTTGATCCACTACCGCCGTGGTTACTAGTTATATGGTTTTGGAAACCTCTCAAGGAATTCCTAAACTATGCTACCATTACTCACTAAAATCTGCAAGTGGCTCAAATTCCCTTTCAGGAGATCTGATAACTGTCTGCTCATCTCTTTCTGGTTACTGACAACTGCTTTCTCTTTATATACTTTCTCTTTATATACATATGAAAAAAGAGAAAATTAAGAACACAAAGGTCTTTCAGTTTTCCACATATATGGCCACAAAGCCTGAGAAGCAATTGCAGCTTCCCTTGTTTTGTTACCCTGACATATGGACCAGGAAAACAAAATACTTTCTGACCTTTGATTTTCCCAGCTGTCTGTCTGAAGCTTGTCCTGGTCTCCAATATCCATGTGTCACCAACCCCCTGTGAAGACTTTTGCTTTCTTGCTGAAGACAGCATTGTTATTCTGGAGTTGGAACAGGGGTTGCATGTTAACCATGTAATAGAAAGATATCTGCTGTATAGACATTTAATGCAAAATAAACTGTTGTAAACCTTCAAGAAGCCTACATTTATCAACCAGTAAAACAACTGGTTAAGTTTTATTATGGTTTTGAGAGGGTGTTTTGCCTTTTAGCTTCAGATTCCCTCATTATTTTAAGCAGACAGTCTAGAAGTTGGTGTCATTACGTAGCTTCCAAACCATGATGCAGGTCAAAACATCTTAAATACAGTTATTCCAGCAAAGGCCTTGATTCCTTGTACAAAATGGGATCTGCAGGCTGATAAGAGGCCCTATCTTTGTTTCTAGAGGTGTTGATTTAAAGCTGAAAACTCACTGTTTGTTTGCAGGTAGAGTTGACCAAACCATTGACATTTAAAACTAGAAATACAGTTTTAAATAGTGGCAGGTTTAGAGATGGCAGGCAAAGATTGGATTCATATGAGTCCACAAAAAGGCTTGTGCCACTGACTGTATTTTTTAAGAGATGGCTACATGGCCGGAGAACAGAGAATTCATGAAGTCCATTCAAAGGAGAAAGAGGTCACTTTTTTTCTTAAGACTTGGTATTTATCCAGCGCTCACTGTAATTTTGTGATGGCAAAGCTTGGGGATGGGGAGGAAAGTGTTAAGATGGGAATAAATGTGGATGTCCTCTTGCAAACCTGAGTTAAAGAAACCCTACAAACCCCACACACATCCCTACAAAACAAAGGGATGTGAGTTTGTCACTTTATCAGTCACCTCTTTAGATTTAGCAAGAGCAGTGTTTACCACCCTGAAGTCTCTGAGCTACTTAACGGATCTACAGAGATCCCTAAAGAACCCCATCACATTATGAGCTCGGCTTAAATTACTGTACAGACTTTTATAGCTAAAACCCAAATGTTTAACTAACTGAAGGTTACTTTTTTCTCTAAAGGTCTCCTGCACCATGCATAAACCTTGCAAAACAAGGCCCAAGAGCCCCATTTATCAACTATGGCTAAATTCAGTGAATTTGTAACTTCATTTTTAATTCCATAATTTCATAGAAGTAAAACTACTATACACTAACAATTGTACTGCCTAGTGCTTCTGCTTCCTGCTCATAACAAAGCACTGCACGTTACTGTACATTGTTCATTTTATCAGTGACAGATAACTTTTAATATATTTAAATACACTTACCAGCCACTTACTTTGCTGTAGGGTTTATAACAGAACAGATGAAGTGCCTTTTTTTTTTTTTAAGCTTTTAGGTTTTGAGGTTTTCAAAATCCATTTAACTCGAATTTTTAACTTCATTATACTTTATTGTTAAAGTTATCTGACTGTATTCTAAAAAATAGATTTAGAAACATCAGAACTGTATTCAGGGTGTCAAATGTTAGAATTGTAAGTTGTTTCTTTCAGGGAAAATATTACTTGTGAAAAGAGTGCACTTGTTGCTTTCATACTGGTGTGAACAAGAAAGGAAGAGGGAGTGTCTCCCCGCTCCCACTTTCCTGCATAATGATACCTGTTATATCTGCCTCTTTGCCATTTTATATCTCTGACAATACAGCAGAAGAGTTATAAATAAGAAACCAGACACCCTGTTCTGTGCTCACACCTGTATTTTTTCCAACAGTAAAAGAATCAATGTTTCTGGAAAACTTAACACACCCTTCCCCGTTACAACAGTAATTTCATTGACAATATACTTTTCCACCCAGAAACAGTTCTCAAAACAAATAGGCCAAACTGGCACTTGTGGAACACTGTACTGGCACCAAGTGAGAAATTTTAACTGTGCTCACCACTGAATTGCATATTTCCACCTCAAACAAGTGTAAGGACCACCTGTGGAAACAAAAGGGAAAAAAAGCCTTTAGAAACCTCCTCATATTAAAAAAAATCAGGGGTGACTCAGTTGCCTGTCACACAATCCCTGAAGAGAGATACTAAACTCTTAATGTTACGTGCAGAAAGTCATGTGAAGTGGCAGGTAGATAGCAAATGCTTAGAGAGTACAAAAATAATGCAAAATTTCCATAAAATGGGAAAGCTTAGACTGATTAGTTTTTTCCCTAAACCCAAACCAGGTCACCAGTATTGTGGGGAAAAATTTAAAAGACCTCAACACAATGCACATTTATACAGTGCTACTCTATTAGTTAACGATGAGACTGGAGTGACTATACAGAAAAGGGACTCTGATTAAGGTTAATAATTATTTTATTTAAAAAGGGCTATATAATATAAATTTCTTAACTGAGCAGTTTGCTACTGTAGTAAAAATGACTGCTTTAAAAGCTGGCTAGTTGTTGGGTCTGAGAAGGTGACATCAAATTGGAAATCATTATTCAACAGGGGAGTAACAGCTGTCAGGGGACATACCCTTGTAAGCACCCTTCACCCTTTGTTATTGAAGTTTAGTCAACAGTTTAAAAGAAAACACAAAGTCACTGCCAGTAAAGCTTGCAGTTGACCCAACTGAAGTAGTAAACAATAATGAAGATGGACAACTGATCTACACAAGTCCCTTTTGCCTGGTAAGCCGTGCTATTTTGGGCAACATGTTTCATCACAACAAAGCACAAGGCCACCCAAAACTAACACCGAGGACACCCACATAAACATAAATAAGGTTCACTGAAACCAGCTTCAAGCCCTGAGGGCCAACAGCAGTGCAGATGAGGCTTCAGGAATCAGACAGGATATTCAACCCAATAGGCTCTTCCAGAAACTACTCTGTCTGTATGAGCAAGTGGCCTGAAATGGCAGGGAAGTGTACTTCCACTACATCCAGTGGCAATATTTTCTGCTCTGTTGTTTAAAAGCTACCAGCAAACTGAAAAAAGATCGGTAAATAGTTTTGAGAATAACCCATGGTTTGGAAAGTTTGCTCTGAATTTAGAATCAAGCCGTGCAAATATATGTATATTTTAAGGCCACAGCAGTCTTACTTAAATAGATAAAGGTTTTAAAGGGATTGCATTTATGCTCAGAGTGCTCATTTTCTGAGATTGGTTGCTCAGTCAGGCTACATGTGAAGCAGAGCACTTAGACACACATCCCAGATACAGGTATGTACCCCTAGGTCCAGAATAAACTCCAGAATAAAATTAAGATATACATCATCCTTCCTAAAAGTCACTGGTAAAAACAAGATAATGAAATATTCTAATAATTCTTCATGGAGCAATTAGAGAACCAGGACTGCAGAGCGTCCTCAAGTCCATCTCCCTGGCTTTAAACTTCAACTCATTGACCTTGTTACCAGGTTCAACATATCTCAGCTCTCTGCTCTGCTTATTATAGGGCTCAGACACACACCCAAGATCATCAGCCGGTAAGCTGAGCCCCAGTTGCTGTCTGTGCATCCACTTGCAGCCACAACAAGTGACAGGTGCACCTACTCCAGCTTTTCAGCTTCATCAGGACTACCTCTTTTGAAGCAAATTTCCCCGTTATCCTGATTGACCATATGTTGTTTCTTAGGATGGAAGTTTGGGGGTTGTACAAAGTAAACTGCTTTCAGATTAAATCAGAGGAGGAGATCTAATATTCCTTTCACTGGTTAAGACACTGATTGGAATTGCCATGTGCTGCAGGCACCCATGGCTGCTCCAGCCCCAGCAGCATTCCACAGCTACCACCAACCCACAGCAGTGACTATCCCACACTTTCCCCCCCACATACCTGTGCCTCTGGGATGTGATCTCTCACCAGGGCATCACAGCACCCACTCCTTGCTCACTCACAGATTCAGCTCAAGTCTTTACAGACCCTCCTGAAGAGCCCTTGGACAGCCCCCAGTCCCTGCTGCTTGTGAACTGGTGCCAGGAGGTCCTGGATTCTCTGTAGTGCTCTGATGACAGCAAACATCCTGGCTGAGTTCCTCACAAATGGAACTTTCTCCTAAAATTAACATTTCTGTGGATTTGAGGAATTGCTCAGCACTTGACATTTTAATCAGCAAAGGGCACTCCTGACAGTGGGAAATTCCAGATGCAGTGGTTATCTGGGAATAAAAAGAAATTACACACTTCAGGTAAATCAGATAATGATGAGTCCTGACAGAGGGGGAGCAGGAAAGCAACAGAGGCAGCACCAGGGGACAGCGGGGTGAAGCTCTTCAATGTGCCCCAGGAGCAGCTGTGCCTTGACAGGTTCAGCACTAACAGTACAGGCTCAGTTTTGCTGTGTTACACTGGAATTGCAGGCATTGAAAAACTAAGAAAATCTTTATGAACATATTTTTCTAGTAGTGAGATCCAATTCACAAATTTTACAGCGTAAAACCACTTTTTCTTCCTAAAGAAAACTCCAACTCAAAGCAGACAGGATAAATGAGTGCCTGAGAAAGGCAGGGCTGCACTATAAGGCAAGAGCAATCACTCATTTTGGAAAAATCTTTTGTGCTTTACAATCAAATGTGTCCTGTTTTAAGCTCCTAAGATGTGGATAAAAGTTTCTTACTCTCCCCTTTATGACCAAGTTGTATTTCTGCTAACAAAGGCAGCTTCTGTTTCCCAGTGGGGTCCTAAAAGGCTTTCTGCCCTTCTTCCTCTGAGAGAAAACTGTCCACTGAACACAAATTTTAGCAGGAAGATCCTGGAGCTGTTCTTGGGATCTTTATTTTGTTTTTTAATTTTTGCCAGAAATCTGAAATCTGGTTTACATGTGTAAATTATTTGCTCATTTGTGTGGGTTTCCAGTAAAGACAAACAAACAAAGCCAGAAACAATGACAACTTGCCTGGCAAGGCAGTCTATTTATTGTTGAGTAAGCTGGCAGTATGCTGAGGCTAAAATAACACAAATGATGATGGGATATTCTACCCTAGCAGCACCCTGCTATAATTTATCACACAATCTGCCCCTGCCCATTTTTTGGGCACTGCTATCTCCTCCCTTTTATTCCCCCAACAGAAACACCAAAAAAAAAAGGATAATACAAAATGGACCGAGAGGTCCTTTCAACAACTTTAAAAGGAAATTCAATGCCCTTGTCTATTTTTTTTTGAATGCTACCAAGGAGTTTGTTTAAAAAAATCATGTAACTGAGTTGCCTAGAAATTCATGTAGAGCTACTAACATTGTCGTTTGTACTTTTGCTTTTTGACATACATCACTGAAGTTATGGAACAGGTAGCAGTTTCTCTCCTGAAACAGCTGTAATGGTAATCTATGACAGAACTGACCCCAAATTCTCAAACACTTAATAAAGAAACAGAAACAAGTTTTCTTCTCACAATCCAGGTATCACATTATGCTATTTCACATGTTGCCATAATGGCTGTTTACACGTCACTCAAAATTCCTCATGGCATCTACATTAAATATTTACATTCAGGCCTAGGATGTTCTGTAAAACTTTCATAGCACACCCTCCTATTTAAAAAAAAACCCAGCATACCCTCCTATTTAAAAAAACCTGCACTTCAACCCAAATTCTAGCTCATATATGAAGCAACACATTCTAAACACTGTCCAAACTGCCATTTCTTCCCGAAGCACAAGGAAGTTTATGCTCTTGTCTAAGGGGAGCTAAACAGAGCAGCATACCACTCCATATTTGTAAATGTTAACTCTGCAAGGTAGGGACTGGCTTCTGTATGCACCAGGCTTCTGGTCCTTCCCTGCTCCAAGAGCCATAATATGACATATGGGTATGTGCAAATTGAAGCAGCAAAGATATATGTGGTGGCCCTGCCACAGAAAAACGTGCACTCTCACTCTTCATGCCAAATATCACCCTGACTCCAAGAATCTTTTCAATGTTGCTTCCAGAAATTGGTCTTAGGTACCAGCCTAAGACCCATTTGGCTTAATAATGGATTTGGGATAATTCCATGAGTCTGTGGGGCAGCTGCACCCTCAAATTTGGTGTATATCACAAGTAGCTTCCCTAGAGTCAGTGGGGACTGTCTCTGCTGCTGTGAGTGTAGTATGAAGAGTATAGAACTATTCTACTTCTTTAAAAATGTTCAAGAAAATGCTGTGAGAAGTAATAAGGATAACACACGTAATCACCAACTGGATATCATATAAGGCCAAAGTACTCATACCAACAGGTAGAAGACTGAGATCAAAGAACCCAAGGACAGCCCTTTTTTGTGTATGTGTCACTCTAAAATAGACTCCTGCAAGCATCCTGGTTAATATAACACACTCTTTGCCAAATATGTACTTTAAAAATAGCAGTCAACTGTACGGCATACCTTGAGTGGTGTTAAAGCTGTCTAGGTTTTGTTATACAAAGACCATGGTAAGTTATAACATGCTGCCAGTGGAAAAAGGAGTGAAACAGCAAAAACTGAGCTGCATAAGATTCTTGAATGAGAACTTAGCAGGGAAGGTTAAACCATAACAGGCATGACATAACTATAATAAATTAAGGCACTCATTGAGATGACTAAACATGGATTTAGGATCTCCAGGGATACAGATGTTTATAGTTTGGCAACTAAATCTACACTTGGGCATCCAAGGAAAAAAATGCCCAGTATACCAGGAGTCTTTATACCTACAGCCCTAACAGAATGTAGATCTTGACAGTCTGCCCAAAGAGGCCTGAATTTATACACTCTTCTCAAATGTTGGTGTAGATTTCAGCTCTAGTAGTCTTTTATTTTCAGAGAAACTAATGAGGTTTTTGGCATTTCTTCTAAACAGTGATCAATTGATTATTGTCCCAAATTTCTATGTCTCCCAGATTTAAAATAATAAATCCAGCCTGTCTGACATCTAGCTCATAAGATCAGTAAAGCAGATGGTTTGCATTTGTTATTACTGGCCAGAACAGTATTAACCTCAACTGCAACAAGTTACCAGGAATTTGTTTATGACCAATACTATTGATTCTTTTTCTTTGGTACAGATAGAAGTAAGCTGAGGACCTGTTTGCTGCTGTTTTCAAATGAATGCTAATCATGCAATTTGGAATTTGTTTTTGACTCATTGTAGGTTCGCAGCAAAAGCAAAGCAGCCAAGGCTGGGCTGTGTGAGGGGGATGAGGTGGTGTCCATCAATGGCAAGCCCTGTGGAGACCTGACCTATGCTGAAGTCATTGTTCTCATGGAGAGCCTGACTGACGTCCTGCAGATGCTTATCAAGAGGTACAGGAATGCTCAGAATGCTTCGGTGCAACCCAGGGAATCACCTGGAAAATGCTGCCTTTGAACACACTCATTTTACAGACTTATACTGGGAGCTTCTGATAGTCCTGTTGCTAATGTCTGTGACCCTGCTTGTTTGTATGGAAAAGGTGGGAAGACAGAGTATTTGAGCTGGAGGAATTAATGTACATGATTTCAACAGCAGTGTTTGGGCACAGAATTAAGATTGCAGTCTCCAAATATAAGTATTCTTAATATTTGCAAACTGCAGAGCCTTGAGTTCAAATATTCTCTCTCCCCCTTTGAAGCAGTGAAGTGTTGTTATTCCCCACAGATAGGGAAGTGAGGCTTACAAAAAGCAAAGGCTGTAGAGATGGGGAAAGTGTGTTACACAGATATGCCTTGATGATGACATGGCAAATGGTCTTGGGTGGCAGAATGCGTTAGGAGTCAGAAGGGGGAGAGGGTCTGGAAGTCAGGAATTCTATTTCTGTAGCTGTTATCACCTCCCTAGATGAGGTGGGGCAAGTCACTTACAGCTCTCTGGGTCTCAGCTTCTGCATTTATAAAACAGTGAGAGTGAATTTCAATTTTCTTTGCAAATGCTTTGAGTTTCTTGGAGAATCTTCATGTAAATTTGCAAATCTGCTCACTGCACATCAGTCTACTCCAATGCCTGTCCACCTCCTGCAAGCACACTCTCCCCAGACTTTGTGAATTCAGACAAGATGAACCCTGAATTGCCTTCACTGGGGGTAAGAAGAGGAAGAAAAGACTTGAAACTTCCACACACGCTCCTTGTAAGGACTTAAGGGTACCATTTGAGTGCTCCTCATATGATACCTGCATTCTTATGTTTTTAATTCATAATGTGACTACAAGAATTGCACTTGTAAAAATGGTGTTTGTGGCTGACCACTTGTTTTTGCAGCCACAGAAATAGCTCCACATGCTTTGACTCCTGCCTGTTGCTGTTCTATAACTGATATTTCAGTTGTCTGAAGGCCGCAGGACACTCTGGCTGAGAGGGACTCTCCCCTGCCCCTGCTTGAATGTATGGTGAACAGCAAGGCACGTCCTGAAACTCAGAACCAAAACACTGCTTAGACCACCTAACTCAGTGTTTCATGGAACGAAACCATGTCTAGTAGAAATATTAAGGAAATTGCAGTTGCTCAACACTCTGAAAGGGACAAAATGTTCTAAAGGAATTCACTGTGAGAATCTTTGAATTTCTTCTCCCCAGCTCATCTCTCCCAAATCCCAGCCCATGCTGTCAGTATCTTCCCAAGTATGGGAGAATAGACTGAAACATTTCTCTTCCCCTCCCACCTTGTTTGTGGTACTATCCCTCTTAGCACTACCACCAGAAGGACTTTTCAGGAAGTGTCTTAGCATCCTCTGAGAGCAATGAGAAGCAAATCCTTCCTTTCCTGAGTAGCCACTTGTTAGCAGCCACCTCAAGAAAACTCTTGAAATCAAGAGGAAAGAATAATTACAGTGGCATTCCAATGGTGATCTTTACATCTAAGTACCTTTTGTTGGCAGGGAAGCATATTTTCCGTTGGGAGTATTCTGGTTGTTCCTGAACCATTTGCATGAAGGATGAGGTTTTCACAGGCGTTAATTGTTGGCCCAATTTTGCTCTTATTACTCTTACTGGGGGGGCAAATTAGGCTTCCAAAGTAGTTTAAAAAAATGCTACTTGGCCTTTGATGTCTACAAAAAGTTTTCCCAATTCCCTGTAAAGCACAGTCAGTTAGTGAGCAGCAGAGCCCAGAAAATGTCCTGTTTGCAGGATCAGAGGAAAGCGACACCCTGCAGGGCGGGCACTCTCCAGATGCCATGTGGGGGAGCATCTCCTGACCTTCCCGACAAATGCTGAACAGATGTATCCGGAAAAACACGGGGAGTGGGGACTGAAACACCAGCCTGCCCTTTTCACATCACTGTGAGCAACTCCTGGGCTACTGCTGAGTCTAGAAAGAACATTTCCAGGGGGAAGGAGGGAGTGTGCTCAGTGCATACCGACATGAAATGCACCATGTAGGGAGTAAAACATGGGTCTGAGACAAACCCTGCCGTGCTGACTCCATGGGTTCTGCTTCCTTCCTGGAATTACACCAGGGCTCTTGTTCCTGCAGCGAGCTGGAAAGGCCTGAAACAAACGTAATAATTTGACAAAACAGAATCTTAAATGACAAAAAAGAGGTCAGACCCAGTATTCTGCCTTTTGACAGAGGATAACAGTTATGTCTATATAGAGTAGAAGTATATCCATACGTAGCAAGGGCCTTTTAAGGTGGAAATCTTTTCCTCTCACACATACACACAATCACTCAGCTACCAATAAAGGCTAACATTTAGCTGGCCCAGCCCCCAGTCCGTATCTTACATGGAAATGTTTACAGATTTCTGTAATTTATCTGTGCTTGAGAGCAGTACAATTGATCATCCAAACAGCATAATCTGATGGGATCCAGCAGCACTCACAAGGAGCTCCCTAAATTAAAATCTGTCTGACCTTTATGTAGCTCCACATGTGGTGAAATGGATGTTACACATTTTGTGCTGTTTGAGGCAGACCCAGACTGCCACAAATGGTGTGCTGCATGGCTAGAAAAGCAAGTGATATTGGAGCTTCTTCAGTGCACTGATTTATTTCTTCTGTTGCTTCTTCCAGCCTTTCTTTTTAGGGAGTTTCAAAGTTTCAGAATACCCGGGACTGCTTTTGATTTCAAAAATCTCCATGATATCTGATATTAATACTTTACTGAGGGAACTTATTGCTTCTCTCATTTGAAAAAGTGTTTTGCTACCTTCTAGTCAATAGAAAGTCTTAATAGCATCCTGTAGTCTTGCTGTACAGAGAAGGTTTCTTCTCAAATTAATAGTAGTCAGTGTGGTCCAGAGTACTGAGAGAAGGAGTTAAAGAGTAATACCAGTAAAACAGCCTAACTGGGCCAGGGGAATTAAGAGTTTAGGGAAAGGAGCTACACTGAGATATTTAGCAGGCTTCAGGAAGTCCAAATAGCATTTTCCAGTTAGAAATAAATATTTTTAAATAACTAGGAAATATTGCATAAGTTTCCCACCCTTTTATGCTGCATCACTGGAATAGGCCCAGAGTATTTTAATTGATCCATGATATATACGGACGATGATCCTCTCAGGAATTCTTTGAATGTGTGTTTTAAGTATTCATTCCCCTCCCTCTGATCCTCATCCAGTTCTTATGTATCCCTTAGAGAGTGAACTGTGTGGTACAGGAACTCCATGTGAGGATGGTGCCTAACACAGTTGCAGCAGTGGCCACAGAGCCAAAAATTAACCCCTGTTCTGGTGTCATGCAAAGTTAATTTTCTGATGAACATGTGAAATATTGTCCCAGAAGTCTCAGCAGCATTTGTCTGGAAACCCTATAACAGAAATGTGTCTGTGAAAGTACACTGATGTTACGAATGATACAGTTCTGCCACTGGTGTGTAATTTCCCCTCTTACTGAACTGTTATGTTGGAGAATCTTGAAAGATACAAAGATGCTTCAATTTAAGACCTCTACATTCTGGGAAAATTCTTCTATTTATAGGGACCTGCTAGCAGGTACCACAGTTAATATAAGGGGTGAAATTCTCTAGAGAAACTGCTTTTGTAACTGTACTTACAATGGCTGTGCTTACAGCAGCTTAATTTTTGGAATTACTTTTTTATGTATGTGCAGATCCTCCAGTGGAATAAATGAAACCTTGAGTGCTGAAAGAGCAAATGGAAAGCCCGAGAACATAAAAAATGAGGACTATAGGGAGAACACCACACTGCAAATTAACACAGCGAAAGAGATACCCCGTGGAGACTTATGCATCACAGAGATATACAGTGGGACTCACCAGGGAGCAGCAGAAAGCAACGTAAACTTTTCTGAGACAAAACAAGAGACCACACAAAGCCACAGAATTACTCCTAAAGTGATAGGCACCTCCAAAGTGCTCGTGGCAGACGAGGCTGCTCTCAGAGGGAAGACAGAAGAAAGAAGGCCAGGGACTGTGGTTGAGCTGCAGTTGTCCCTCTCCAATGACACCCACAAGGGCACCAGTGCTCCTGCTGTGACTCTCCTGGGAGCAGAGAAATGCCCCCCTTCAGCAAGAGGAGCCAGTGTACAACAGGATGGGACCAGCCCCCTCATCACAATTCCCCTGGGTGTGAAAGAGGGCAACGTCCAGTGGTCAAACAAAGTAGTCCAATTTTCCAGCAGCAAAGAGGTCAAGAGGATCCAAGGTGCAGTTCCATCTATCCCCAGGGTGGAGGTGATCTTAGACTGTTCAGACAGGGAGCAGGAAGCACCCAGGTCTCTGTCTGAAAGGGGGTGTGTTGATTCTCAAGCAGAAGGAGGGCAGTCAGAAGCACCTCCTTCCCTCCTCTCCTTTGCAGTCTCACCAGAAGGCACAGAGCAGGGAGAAGACAACAAGCCCTCGGAAAAGGAACACAGACCTCTCAAGCACAGGGCAAGGCACGCAAGTAAGTATGTCCCATCTAATCATTTGCACTGCCTGAGGGCATCTTTTGTAACTTTAGATATAATTTCAGGATTTAGAAGGCATTAGAAAGAAACGTTTAGAGATTTTTTTTTCCTGCAGTTTTCTAACTTTCCCTCTCCTTTTTTCTTTTAAAGAATGTTTCTGTTCTTGCTTTAGATATTCTTTCAGGGTAATACAATGCTCCTGGTCATGAGCCAAGGGTATACCCACGCCTTAACTGTGCTGAATAACTGTGCTTACTAGACTTCCACTTTGAAAGTAACTCATGAGTTTTGTCCAACTAAAAATACTTACATCTCCAGAAAGGGCTGAACTCTGCTGGTCTTCTAATGCATATTCAGAGGCAATCTGTAGAATATTAACAAAAAGAGCAAGTTGCTTGCACATGTGAATCCTGGGGATTTCTCCTTTTTATAGCAAAAGCTTTGTGTTGCCATTTGCATTATCTAGAATCAAAGCCATGCCACTGCTCTGAAAAGTTAATAAAAAGGGCCAGCAGAAAAGCTTGATGTTGCCTGCAGAAGAGATTTTGACAGACACTAGCATGTGTATAACTGTTACATGATCCTTTTGGTTTTGTCAGCCTTCTCCAGACTGTAAAGTGAACATGCTATTTCTCCTGACTCCCATACCCAGAGGTCAGCTTCAAAATGTGTCCAAGAAGTTTACATGGAAGTAAACTTGCCACTGGAGCCAGTATTAATTAACCGGGTGTAGATGTGTATTATTTACTAATTAACCTATTTATTTATTTATTTATTATTTTCTTCATCTGGGACCTCTCTGTTGGTGGCTCGCTCCTTCCCAGCAATGTGAAGAATCCTGTCTGGGGATTTAGCAGCAGTATGTCAAAGGTGCTTGAATGTGTGCAGTGATATACTGTAGCAACAAGCTATTTCATATGCAGTGTTGGAACTCCTCCGCTAACCCACTGCTAATTCCTCTGGAAGCATATTTTTAGCATGACAACCATTTGTGTCTTATTGGCAAGTGGATTAAGCAGTGACTTATGCCCAAGTGTCTGTATGCAACCCACATATTTTGGGCATATTAAATGAAGTACAAAAGAAAAGTGCACATGCTTCACATTTTGGCTGCGAAGTCAGAAGCAACTGTGGGACTGTGCCTGTCTTTCTTAAAGAATTAATTGCAGTGCCAGTCTGAAAAGGCAAAAGTACAAAGCATAAACTAAATTTTACCTGATAAATTCTTCTTTCAAGCGGGACATAGATCCAATTCTTTTCCTGTGTCAACTACGATAATCTCAGTCTCTTCTCATCTAGTGGCAGGTCACTATCCTTAGGAATCACTGATTAAATCTGTAAAAGTTTTTGCATTATTATTATTATTAAAATCCTATCTACATTTTAGAATGAACAAATTGCTTAGCACAGGGAATACTCTGTGTGTAGCAAATACTAAGCATGTTTTCTGCAAAAACAGAAGTTATAGTGCAGCACTTCAGACTGAACTAGAGAAGAATAGTTATTACAGGTGCTTGATCTCTTTAGCAGGAATTTCCTCTGTAAATAATAATCAGATTATATTTACCTGAACAGGTAACACTATAACACTACAGCCTGTACTTTTGGAAATAGTCTGCAGTGACTACTGTAAGCATTTGGATGGTCATAGGACTGAGCCAAGGATTTTGTGATTTGACTCTCCCACGATAAAATATTACAAATTGCTGGTTTGGGTACCATGCTTTTTTTCATAGTTCTTGTGAGAACCATTGGTCCAGTCGTGCTGCCATCTGGCATAATGGCAAAACTCCAATTGTCTTTAATAGGAGAAGTATCAGACTCCATCTACTGACACAGCTAAAAGGATCATGAATAGACAACACCTCATCACATGGCTTTCTTTAATAAGTTTGTTTTATTTATGCTTGCAAAAGATACTAAATAATTTACTGTTCTATTTTCTTATATTAGAGGCACATTTTTTCCTTTTGAAATTGGGTGGAGGGGATCATCGATCTCAAAAGGAAGAGCTTTGAATTCCAGCTTTTCTTCTGAAGGGAGAACCTATTGAGGCTGTCACTCATGAGATGTAGTGGTAGGGTATGAGGAAAGGAAAGAAACAGGGACACCACCTGACCAGCATTGCCCCATAAGGCACGTGCTCCATGTTCCATAACAAGGAAGCAGTCAGGCTGATGTAGACAGCATCCATCAGCTTTACAGCTGCATCTGTTCCCCTTCCACATGACTTGATGAAAACCAGTAATTTATGCTTTAAGAAATATGTACCATTGATATATGCTAGTGAATACTCTTGAGAAGTCAGTTGTGTATTCACTCTTGCCACATTTTCAAAATAAATATTCTGGAGCTCTTATATCCTACAGAATTTTGGATTATATTCCAGGCAGGTAATGCTTGTTAAAAGACTGAAACCTGCTTTCCTTGAGCCAAACTCCCACATCTTCCAAGGGGCAGAAAGTTGATGCTAATAATTTTCCGTGTATGCCTTTCTGGATGCATCCTTGCTTTTAAATAGCTAATACATAAAAGCATCCTATAGCAACTATACACATTTTGTAATCTATAGGAGTAAAATAAATACCTAAATGGCAGAAGCTGCTACCACTGTCTGATAGAACATGCTCGGTTTCATTTGGTCTCAGATATTAAACAGTCTGGCTTGCTGGGAATGGCTGCTGGAAGCCCAGGAATTGTGGTCAAACACTCAGTAAATACCAGACCAGAAGTTGGATGAGTGAGAAAATATCACCTGCCTGTTGCTGCTGAGTTTACTTGTGGAAATAAAAATTAAGAATGCTAGAAATAAAGACAGATGTAATATCCCTGTTGAACTAAGACAGTCCTAAAGAAAGCGATGAAGCCTTTGAACTTGCATGGGTGTGACTCTAAGGAATGCTGGGGATGGAATTTACCACACAGCTGATACTGGGAGAAAAGCTGAAGTATAATGAGCTTTCCGTATAGAAGAAAATAAATGTTTTACTATGGGAAAAGGGAAGGGTGGATAACATTCAGTATAGATAAATGCAGCAATTGTAATTGTGTGGGATGCTTGTAAATAAATGTGTCCTTTGATTCTCTCCACAGGGCTCCGACGAAGCGAGAGCCTGTCAGAGAAGCAGGTCAAGGAAGCCAAATCTAAATGTAAAAGTATTGCACTGCTGCTAACAGCAGCTCCCAACCCCAATTCCAAGGGGGTGTTGATGTTCAAGAAGCGCCGCCAAAGGGCGAGGAAATACACTTTAGTGAGCTACGGGACTGGGGAGTTAGAACGGGACGAAGACGAGGGTGAGGAGGGCGAAGGTGAAGAGGGGGACAAAGAAAACACCTTTGAAGTGAGTTTGCTTGCAACCAGTGAGTCAGAAATAGATGAAGATTTCTTCTCTGACATTGAGAAGGACGGTAAGGTTGTGACCTTTGACTGGGACAGTGGTCTACTCGAGGTTGAGAAGAAGACAAAGAGTGGAGAGGAGATGCAGACGCTCGCAGACAGCACAGGGAAAGGGGCCCTCATGTTTGCCAAGAGACGGCAGAGGATGGATCAGATTACGGCTGAGCAAGAGGAGATGAAGGCCAGCACAGTGCAGACAGAGGAACACAGGGAAACCACCGTGACAGAGAACTTCCAGAAAGTAAGCTCTTCAGTCTATCAATCAAAGGAGGAGGAAACATCGAGACAGCAGACCTGCGTGAGCAAAAGCTACACAGACGTGAGCCAGAACCACAGCAAAATGGTGCAACAAAATGGCTTTGGCTTAGCACCAGGCACAAACCTCCCTTTTCAGTCCTCTGGAGCCCCCAGAGCACCATCTTTGAATATAACAGCTAAACCCTTCCCTTCTGGGGTTCAAAACCGAGCAGCTGCACCATTTTCACCCGTAAGAAATGTCACCAGTCCTCTTTCAGATGCAGCAGCGCCGCCTCCCTACTGCTCTGTCAGCCCACCAGCCGAGGCCTTCTACAGACCTGTCTCAGCTCCTGTGGCCAGCAAGGCTGCCCCAAACATGTGGGCACCCACGGAGCCCACGGAACACATAGCATCCAGGGATGAAAGGATTGCTGTGCCAGCCAAAAGAACTGGCATACTGCAAGAGGCAAAGAGAAGAAGCACTTCAAAACCCATGTTCAACTTCAAAGATGCACCCAAAGTAAGTCCCAATCCCGCCCTGTTGTCCCTTGTACACAATTCAGAGGGCAAAAAAGGTGCTGGAGCTGGTTTTGAGTCAGGACCTGAAGAAGACTACCTCAGTTTGGGAGCAGAAGCTTGCAATTTCATGCAGACTCAAGCATCTAAACAAAAGGCCCCTCCTCCTGTTGCTCCAAAACCTTCACTCAAGGTCTCTCCCTCTGCCGGTGCTCCAGTTTCACCGGTTTGGTCACCTTCAGCTGCGGCTGCTAACAAGGCTCCTTCTTTCCCAGCACCAGCCTCACCTCAGGCAGCATATCCCGCACCACCGAAATCTCCACAGTATCCTCATTCTCCCGCCCATCCCCCAAGTACTCTCAACTTAGCTGGTCCTTTCAAAGGGCCCCAGGCGAGCCTGGCAAGTCCCAACTATGCCCCAAAGCCAACCCCAGTCACACCAAGTGCCGGGGAAACGAAGCCACCCTTTGAGATGCCACCGGCCATGAGTGGGAAAGGAGCACAGCTGTTTGCCAGGAGGCACTCCCGGATGGAGAAGTATGTGGTGGATTCAGAGACTGTGCAGGCAAACATGGCACGAGCCCCATCTCCAACTCCATCTTTGCCAGCTTCTTGGAAATACTCATCCAATGTCCGAGCGCCTCCACCTGTTGCTTACAATCCCATCCACTGCCCATCTTACCCTCCTGCTGCTTCCAAGGCTTTCTCCAAGTCTGCTGCTGCCGCCACCAAAAATACAAAAAGAAAACCTAAGAAAGGTCTCAATGCTTTGGATATTATGAAACATCAACCTTATCAACTCGATCCCTCTTTATTTACTTTCCAACCTCCTAAGGAAAGCCTTGCCATGAAGCAGACATCGAAGCTGCCCCCTTCCAAGCAAGCTCTACCTTTGCCTACCTTCCTCCCACCCGGTGCTGGCTCTCCCACCAGAGCCCGACCATCTTCAGTGTACTCCGTGCCAGCCTACGGTTCCCAACCTCCGTTCCAGTCAAATGCCTCTCTCCCAGTAAACGAATCATATTCACCTCCAGGCTACTCTGCATTTTCTAAGCCAGAAACCACCACCCCCTCTTTGTTTACTGCTCCGAGGCCAAAATTTTCAGCCAAGAAAGCTGGAGTCACTGCACAGGTGTGGAAGCCATCAGTTATTGCAGAGTAAACCTTAGAGCTCAAACTTAGTGTCCACGTTGCTTGCAGTCACTGGTTTGCAGTGGTCACCTGGCACACCAGCGGTGCCAGTGTTATTATTCCTTAGCTCACTTAACAATGTCAGATGTATCACCTCAAATCTGGGTCCAAAGTCATTGAACTTTTTTAAGGAATCAAAACAGATACAAATTTTAGCACATTTATGCGTATTGCCAGGTGCTTTATAGACAAACATTCTGAAATGAAGAGATGCCATTGCCTGAAGTGAGCAGGACACTAGGTTTTTGCTTTAGGATTACAACAGAAACAACAGTAAGCAATATTCCTGATATGTCAAATTAATAGAGAAGAGCTTTCTTTCTGTCCCTCTCCCCAACTGTGTTCTAATGACCTAGGGATTTGAGGACTTTGGTGGTTGGTTTTTTTTTAAAAGAAGTGCCTTATTATCTAATAGTAATATGTATTATTAACATAGCATCAAATAGACACAGTATTAGACTCTGACTGATCTCTAGCAGAATACAACTGGATAGACCTTTAGCCTGCATGGAGAGCCAGGGAATTCACTCAGGATCTCTCCTGGCTCAAAGGTCCTTCCACAGGAATCTGATTGATCAGCCAGGGGCTTAGCTTTTAAGCTATGTGGATCAGCTGTGATCCAAAAATCATTAATTGCCTCTGTGATTTCACAGAGAACGTGCTTATCAGAGATGCTGGAGTGTTCTGAAGACTAAAAGAGGTGGAAAGACAGCTGGACAAATTGTTAGAGATTTCCCATTTTGGGGAAATTTGACATCCCACGTGCAGGCATATTTTTAGCCAGAGTTTGCCTCGAACCCAGCAAGTAAGAGAGGAGTCTGTAAATCCAAATTAGGGAGCAGTCAGAGAGGGGAGCTGGGTTCTGCAGCTGCAGTGTAATGCACCAGTTTCTTGTGAAAGCACAGTGATTTAGAATGAAGGGCTACCTATAGTCAAGAGCACTGATTCTTGCACCCAGAGTAGTAACTGACAGTAAATCATAATTATGACTATGTCTTCCTATTGGTCTCTCGTACACATTTTATTATTTTCACTTGGGGTTCTACAGTGCTTCTTCCCACTCTAAATCTTTTTACTCTGGTCTTATTCCTTCACCTTTTACTTGCTGTACTGGGGACTAAGGATTGAAATACTGCTACTGTAGGAAGTCCTTAAGAAGTTTATGGTCTTCAAAGCAAATACAGAGCCTTGCTGAAACCAAGGAGCTATGTTTGAGTAGTTTAGCATGTCTTTCAGTAAAAGCAGTCCTGTTACCATCAGTGGTGCTAGGGCTGAAACAAGGTGCTCTCTCACACAACAAAGGGGATCAAAATCCATCCCAAGTGTGAAGCTAAAGATTAAAGCATCCCTCTATGAAAAACAGTGGCAGAATCTGTTGCTATACTTGTTTAAACTATCATTCAGCTACTTAGAGACCTATTAGGGACCTTTTATATCATTGGGGGGGTGTGTACAACTATCTATCTTTATGAAGAAAACATTCCTAAATATGAACAAAATCTCCTTAGCTTGGTCCCATGATGGTAACTCAAACTGCAATTAAAGTTCAGAAGAAGGCACTTGGTTGTGATGCAGACAGCAGGCGGAAATCAAAGTCTAATCAAGCCAGTAAAAATCACTCCTTTGAATTTTGGACCTCCAAAATTACACTCTACCCTTTCAATTCTGGATTGGGATGCTGACTGCATTAGAAGAAAATGACCAAGTGATCCATCTCTCTCTTAAAATTCAGGAGAATGATGGGAAATTTGGGGGGAAAAATAGTTTGGAAAACTCAGGAAATATTTATACTGCATTTACCTGGAAGTAGAAAGTAGCAATATTTTAATCCTTTGGAGATTTCCCTTCTATCTGTTTTCCACTTTCAATGTCTGTATTTTTCTTCTATCATTAAACTTGTCCCTTTCCTCTCTGCCTGTTTGCGGGTTTTTTCTTTGGTTTGGCTGCTATTTTTTTGTTTCACTTACCTGTACAGGCTGATAGTATGTCTTGGGGGGAAATCTATTTTCTATGCTAGCCTGTTAGTATGAAACCTCCTCCCTCCCATTCCCCTTTCCCCTTTCCCCTTTCCTTTTCCTCTCCCCTTCCTCCCTCCCTCCTTTTTCCCCCCTCTTTAAAAGTTCAGTCTGAAGTTACATATGCTATTTTAGGAAGACATTTAAGATACCAGTATGTACTTGGAATAAAGATACTCTTCCAAAGGTAAGTAGTGCTCCTAGAGAGAGACACAGAAATCCAATCATGCTCCTATTGCCTTACATGCTTTTGTTTACAGTGTCTTCCTGTAAAGTACATCTTGTAATTTAGGATCACACTTGTGGACTTGCTCACCCCATCATCACAAGAACGTTTCCTTAATGAGGGGATTTAGAACAGTTTTGTACTTCCAAGTACCCATGTGAAACTGGGAATTACCAAAATCTAACTTCAAGCAAACATAGGTCTGTATGGCAGGCTACTTTCCAAGTGAGAAATAATAAGCATTACTATTCTAATTATCACCAGAATAAACAAGAGGTAAAGCTGCGATTAATTCTCATGCAAAAGAAATCAGCTCTCCAGAAAAACAGAAGTTAACAGGAGCTAGGGAAGAGCTCTGGGGTGAAACAGAACATTTCAGTTTCCTGAGTCATCTGCCTTAAATACAAGTGGCAGACAGAAACGCATAACTGTCATCTTTAAAACTGTTTTGCTATTTCTTTCATTTTCAGCACAACCCAGAAGTTCCCTTAGGGAATTACCTAAAGATTATGTGTGTTTGCAGCACTAAGCAAAAAGTGCACTTCTGTGGCCTAACTTCTCTTTACTTTAGCCAAAAGAAAAGGAAGTGTATCTATGCTGAAAATTTGAATTTTTCATCACATTTGGACTTTTTGCTGCTATTGAAATACAAGCATTTCATATGGCCTATAGCAACACCAGAAGGATTTTTAAAGCTCGAACAAGAGTTAAAAACAAAGCCCCAGTGACACTGGTGCTCTTAAGTCAGTTAAGATCTTCTGAAAATCCCATTCAAAGCCCAACTCTGAATTCAATTTAACATATACACATCATTCTACACGCATAGTGCTTGGATCCAACTTGGCTTCGGGATTCTTTTTACTAATCAGGTAAGTCTTCAATTCTTATTAATATTTCAGAAGACTAGACTACTTAAAGCGACAAGTTTATCCAAGATGTAATTGTAATCTGTGGGGGAGCAGATGTTTAGAGGAAAGTCGAGCTGTTCACTGTCATGGGTCCAGTTGAAAAGCTAAGGATGATGTCAAACGTAGCTAGAATGTCAAGGAAATGAAGGGTTTGGGTTGAGGAGCCAACTGAAATTTCACTTGGAAAGGGCAGTGAGCTTTTGGAAATGGTTTTCTGAAAAAGCTATTACAATTATTTCATAAAATATGACAAGTCTACCAAGATGCAACTGTCATGTTTACTATGTAAGCACATTTAACAGTGAATTTTAAGCCACCCCTACTAACAATACTTCCAGTATGTTCACATTAAAGGAAGAACTGAAATGTTTTATGTTGCTTTTAGCACATTTAATTACATCACATACTGGAAGTATTATACTGCATCAGTACAATGGATCTCACATTTTAGAAAGCCTTGCCATGAAAACAGCTACCTCAGTCAAGGGTTTATACACTTGTAATTTCTGATGCAGTTACGAACCTCTTGTTACAGAAACCTGAATGGAAAAGTTTTGTGTTGGAGATGAGCGGCTTTAGGACAAAAAGCTAAAGTTTCTGCTGAAGAAACAAAAGACAAAATTTAGTTCCTGAACAAAGAACTGCTTAACTTCTCCCCCCTTCTCTAGGGCAACCACTCTTACCATGTCCCTGCTCAGCAGAATATATTATGGAACAACCGGAAAGAGATTTCAATGACTTTTTTTTTTTTGAAGGAACATTTACAGAGTAAACTCTATAATCCCTTACAAGTATACCTAGTTTAATTTTATTTACTTTATTTTGCATTCCCAATTTTATTTTCTGTGAGACACTCGAGTCATGACACAAAATCAGCCTTAGAAACTGCAGTGATCCATTTTCCTGTCACCACAGAAGCAGTGTGGCAATGAGTTTGGTTTCTTTTTGGCAGCCTGTTATTAATGAATGTTCAGAATTACACAATGTTCAGGATTACACAAACTTGTATTTGAAGTAAAGAAATACTAAGAGGCTGAGGTATCAGCAGGCTCCAAAAACATTAGGAGGTGAGGAGCTGGTGTGTGGCTCAGATAGAAAAATTAGGGCTTAGTGGCACAGCAGTAATTTTGAAAGAAAATACTACTAGGATTAGAGGGAGGCAAGCTTTGGGGAGAAAACCCCACAAAAAAACCTGCAGAGACTGCACAGGATAAAATACCTGTCAGAGGATCATGAAATACTGAAGGCAAAAGGCCAATCAGCAAGAAGGGTTCACTTATTCTGCACAGAGATGGCTGACTACTTCCAGACTTTCATTGAAATGGGGTTTTTTGTTGAACTCTGATAAAAGATTATAAGCAATTATTAGAAGAACTTCACACCAGGTGATGTGATGTGACAGGAGCAGTGCTTACCAAGTATCCAGGATGACAGCTCAACACAGGACCAGCCTGACCATCCCATGCTGCTGCTCCAGCATCTCTGGGGGGAATCCTCTGTACGCTGCGAGGCAGGGAAATATCAGGGAGATGACAGCAACTAACAGTCTGCAAAATCTTTCTCCTCTCTTTTTTCCAGGGTCCTTTTCCAGATTTGGTAGCTTTAAGATTCCAAAACATTTGGTTCTAAAAAGATTCGCTCTTCCAGTCTTGCCTTTTCCCATGACACACCTTTCCTTACCTGAAGCCAAACTCCCGGGATCCCACCGGTTGCTTTGGTGGTTCAGTGGCAAGTGCAAATCTTAATTACACAGCTTGGCACCATGTTGTTTTCTAAGGACTCTGTTCAGCTTGAAATAGAAACGTCGTACAAAGAAGAAACTTGATGAGATCTTCAAAAACCTGTGGATTCAGAAGCTCTGAATGAACTCACTGCTGGAAGATTCCTTGGGAAAATAAGTGAGCGTGGTAATTTCAGGGCAGCCCACTGGGTGCCACCATCACAACTTCACAGGGCCCAGGACAATGACTGGTCTTTAGAGCAGAATTACCTTTGCATGTGGTTGATTGCATAGGGAAGGAGTTGGAATCACTCCAGAGTTATGCTTGGCAAGCGCTTTTCAGGCTGCTTGCTTACTAAAGGAAGCACTTTGGGTTTTTTATCAAATGATTAAAAAAGTAGGAAAAATCCCGAAGCTCCAAGAAATACTGTTAGAAGAATCTCTAAAAAACTCTTCCCTTACAAGCCATGACCAACCATATGATGACATTCCCATGGGTTTAACATTTGCTTCCTCAAGTAATGCAGGCAAAGACTTTTCCTTTCTATGCTAATCAAGTCTCCTGTTATTGTCTGCAGTATTCAAAGGAAAAAATCTATCCCTGTTCGTAATGATCTTGACAAACTGTCCCATCTAGATCTGAAACAACGGATTGTTACAGATTTAACAAATGTACGAGGAAGAGAAGAAAAGGAGGAACAGTAAAATACAGAACTAAAGAAAAAGAAGTAAAATACACTGCCAGTCACAGGAGCACATGCTGGATTACAAAGGGTGACATGAAGCACAACACTTGCTGATTTTAGTATGAGCTTTAACTGATTGCAAAGCAAAGAATTCAGTACATTTCTATTAGAAGCAAAGGTTTCCACACAGTAACCACCTACAGACAAATATTTTCATTTTTTTAAAGGAAAGTTCTTCTTTTCCCCAATGAACATCAGTAACTGCTAGTGATTTTTTTCTCTAATTTGTGAGAATGCTACTTCTTAGAGCCTCACTGTGCAGGTTGTTGGTACACAGCTTTACACTGTGAACAAAAGCAACGCATGGGAATCTGGGTACACTTAGCTTTCTTCCAAGAGTCTTGGGAATTTTGCCCTGCCAGGTTTATGACTTAGAAGTGGAATCTAAGCAATATCTGCCTGAAGTTTAATTTTCTTTAGTTCAGCAAACAGTTCTAGCATGTAGAGATATTTCTGCCATGCTACCTGACTGTCTTTTATTAACCAAACCAGACTGCAAGTCTCTTCAGAAGAGGTTTCCAAATACTTCCTTGCTGTTTGTTTGGCTGATGTCAGAAAGTGCTGAGGTGTGACTAATGAGAAAAAAAATTCATGATGGCATTGTATTAAAAAATCAAAAGATTAAACAAAGGAGAGGCAGCAATGCATGTTTTTAATAATGGTGATGTAATTCTACACCTGCACTGTGCTCTGCTGCACAGCTGGGAGCATTCCAGATAATATAAAATCATACAAAATGATAAACTTTTCTCATGCTGGTATTACTTTCAGAGAGGTGTTTTGGTAGAGAAACTTGATGGATTTGGTACTGCTACAGGAGCAGCACTGAATCAAGCACTGACACTGTGCATATACAGTGATAAGAAAACAATATTAAACACCACTGTTTGGATTGCAAAATGGGGCACTTGGAATTCACGCTGCCTGTGTCAGCTTAATCCAACCTCCTCAGGTGTTTGTGTGGCCAAAACATCTGTAATTATGTCATCACCTGCTGCTTTTTAAAGTGTAGGGCTCCAGACTCAGTTCAGGGCACAGAATGTTCATCTGACAAAAAGCTCTTTGCTGTTCTGTTTTGACATTGTTCTGTGCTTAGCACCATTCCTTATTTATGGTACACTCTTTAAAACGTGCTCTTCATGCAGAATTATTTCTTTACAGATTTTCTCTGTTAGCACCCAAGTCATTCACAAGTCAGAGTTCATCTTTACACTATTCTACAAGTGAGTAAATAAGGCATGAAGTGAGTGGCACTGACACCAGGACACTCAGTAGCCTTGGGTGTCCAGCTCGAGGCACTTGGCATCTCCAGAGTCCAGCAGCACATGCACTAGTTACTCTCTGTGACCCTTATGTGATCCTTAACATCAGTCTGTGAGCGTTAACAGATCTCCAGGTGGAATTCCAGAAAGGAATTCCAATCAGAGGAAGCACTTTTTGCACCAGATATTCCCTTGCCAGAGAATCCCAGTGCTTCCTAAAAGAAGCCCTGAAATGGCACCAGATGTGGCAGATCCACTTCAGAGACAAGGATCAGGTTCAAACCAGTTCTAAAGCATATAATGGTCCCACTGCTCAAGGGAGCAAGGTCAGAAAATAGGACCAACTTTGCACCCGTAGCTGTGCAATATAAAACCCAGAAGGTGGCAGCAAATACTCTTCCTTACCACAAATAAACTTGCCACAAATAAATTTCCTATTCCAAGGAAATCTAAGATGCCTATGGAGAAAAAGTTTCAGTTTTTTGCTTTCTATAGGCATAGAAGTACTGTATTTTGACAATTGCATATGGATAAAGATTAAATGGTAATGAAAAGAACTGATTTTCTTTCATTTACACAGGTGCAAAGTGAGCAAACTGAATAATTTATCACAGGTTAGCAATAATCTTATGGTTTATAACAACATTTTGCAGTGGTGAAGGCCTAATTCTAATAGTTTACTTTCTTATTCTACCATTACTTAGCAATTGAAAAAAAACTTTACGATCAAAAGAAAAAATTGTCACAAAGCTTATGTGAAATGGTTGACAGAAACTGTTTCATTGGGTTGTGTATGAATGATGAAAATAAGATTATTCTCACCTGAAACAATGCCACATTTATAAACAATCTGAATTCTGAATTAATTAAGTTCCAGTCCTAAAATTCCCTATAAATTTTCGGAAGCAAGCCCTGACAAAACAGCTTGGAGGAAGTCAGGATCAGGCATGAACTATGTGATTCTGATGATTCCCTGCCTCCCCAGCCATTAGCATCCCTGTTAGCCAAAATGCTGCATTCCCATTTTGGTCAACTATAAATTATTTCCAGAGTTTCAAATAAATATGATTTTCCCACTTTATTTCAGTACTTTTGGTATTTCTATTGTAAAACAGGTGTATCATTTACTGTAGAGCTGGCAGCATTTCAGAGAGAAGTTATTTTTTCATTAATGAAGTTTAAATTGTAAATGGTTTGGGATGAAAAAAGCTGTAATAAGATTAGCAATATGTCCCCTTCTATACCCAGTTCAGTTTAAAAAATCTTAAGTGCCTGTTTTATGTTTAAAAAAAAATGAAAAGAAGGAAAGAATTAAAAGGCATAAAAATTGAGTATTACTTATTTAGTCCTACCTTTTCTCAGTGGTTTGGTCTCTAACTGCAGTAACCTTTACAAGCCCAAAGGAGAAATGCATCACTCTGAACATTTTATAAAGGCGGAGTCATTTTTTGAGATAAAACAATTGTTTCACCTACTTCCTCCTCCTTTGTCCCCTTTCTGTGTAAACATTAGTTCAGCCTCTATTGTTAACTCAGATTTGACCATGCTTTGATATGGGATTAAGGACTAGGACTATAATGAAAAGACAAAAATAAAACTGCTTTAATGACTTAGACATCGAGGTCCAATTTTTTCAAGTGACTTAATCAGTGAGGAGTCTGTGTTGGAGAGAGTTTCACTGGGCTGTGCAGAGTCCAACCAACTTTTGTCTCCTTAACTGGCAAAAAGGCACCTTTAGCATGTAAACACACACAGTCTTCACTCACTGAGGAGCTGTGTCACCTGAGGCAATAAAACAATAAAACAGTTGCTGTGAAATCATTTCACCAAGCGGTATTTTGCATTCCTGTTTGTTCTGTAAAAGGAAAAGTGTCTTTCTGACTCCTGCCTTTAAAATTTGCTCTATTTTATGAACCTAAGTATCACTGTTCTGACTTTCAGCTTTTCACAATTAGCAAGAAAATTGAAGCTGCTCTAAGTTCCAAATAACCCGTTTCTCTGGACTACTGATGTAGATATTATTGAATCAGACGTACACAGTTACACTCATTATTAACTACATTTATATGAGTACACACCTTTTATAAGTACTCCTTTTACATTCATTTGCTTATATATGGAAATAGTTACTTTAAGAAGTAATGCTACATGAATCTTAGTTTATATTAATACACATCCTATAAATATCAAGGATTGCTTGCAGTGCAATAAATGTTCACTTGATTGGCCAGTTTATAAGTAGTTTTCATTTTTAAAACCAACATTAACCTAAACCTACAGTTTAATCTGTTTGCACAGACACCCGAGGCAGTCAGCAGCTGTCAGGATTCTAGGATTGCAATGGACAGCTCTGAATGGCCTTTCCTCTTCTTGACATCCAAGAACCATGTTCCCTTCAACAAATGTTGTAGAAAAGATCTTTCTGAAAACATTCAGGCAATGGAAAAGAACAAATTAATCACTGCATAGGATCCTGGTTTGTTTTGCTGTGTAATACTTCAATATTCTAATAACTGGTTTACAACAAGAGCACAGGAAGACAATATGGGATAAAGTAATAATTCTGGTAGCATTTCACTCTTCTTTCCCTTCTCCCTTGATTCCTGGGAAGAAGAATGGAAAATCTCCACCCTTCTTTTTATGATCTTCTTGTAGCTTAAGGGAGAGAGAGGGCAGAGTAATTATTCTTCATATTTCCTACTGTGTCACTTATGATCTGGGGTTTGTGCATTCTTTTTAGCACCTACTTGTCAAAAGCTCTATCTCCAAGAATGAAATATAAAGGGAAAATAATAGAAAGTATCACCATGTCTGGCTCCTGCTGTCCAGTAAATGAATGAGGAATTCTAGTGACTAAAAGGGGCTGAACACCAAAGTAGTGACAGAGATTGGCATATAAACACCAAATATAGACCTGCTTTGAATCTTGAAATGTCCAGACCTAGACTTTCAGTCTAGGAACATGCTACAACTAATAAAAATTAACTGGAATGAAAGCAAAGCAATACTGATCATCTCACAGTTCCTGCATTTAGATACATTTATATTTAAGCAAAATCATGCTTTCATACAAGTGCCTAAAACCTATTTACCACAGAGTATGAAAGGCTGTGTGATATTTTATATTCTGAAGCTGAAGATCTCTTAGTTTCAGAATAAAGTTGAGTTAGATAGAAATATTCTATTTTTTAACTCAATAAATTACTGCAAAAGTATGTCACTGTGCAATGACAAAAATCTGCTGTGCAGGGTGCTGCTGGATTGCTTTTATTACAACAGATACTCCCACAACAATCTAAGCAATCAGAGGCATGATGGCACATAACTGATACTTTTCCTGTATTTCTTCTACGGATGAGGAAGAAATTGAATAATTTTCTGTAAAACAGACATGAAAATAAGATAAATATTCCCCTGAACGCAAAGAGTTCAAGGGAACTGTCTCAAGTTGCAGCTACTCCCCAAAACTTAGTTGAATAGTTTTAGGCCAAAACTGATATTTAATTTTCTTAGACTTAATAAAAATAAAATTCACATACAATTTTTTTCCCTTCTCTGACCTTGTGGAAATGCACATGATGACAACTGCTATTTATTGTAGGAAGAATGTAATTCAAAATGACTGAGGCTCATTTCAGGCAAATATATTTTTACATTCTTGGATCTCAGGAGTCTCCAAACCCTCTTCTGCCCACCTTTACCACAGTTATCACTTTTCTTCTTTGGGAACTGTAGGGAATTCAGCCAGTTTCTTCTATCAATAGCTTCTTCCTTCAAAAATCTTTGGTCAACTCTTCATCTCCATCAAAAGACAGCCAGCCAGAGGCAACACCAGAACTGGAAGTTAGTATGTAAGTGGGGATCTCTCTTAACTTTTCCTCTAATTCCTTCATATCCTTATGGAATGGACAAGGTTCTTCCCATATACTTCAGCCTCCTTCCAAGTTAATCACCTGGAATGCTGTTTGCCCTCCCAGGTTTTGTCCTCTTACAATCCAAAAATGTAACTGTCATTAAAACCACACACTGTTCAGTCCTCACTCTGTGTAAGGAGAGACTAACCCTTACTTTACCAAATCTAGAGAAAACAGATGTGCAATTTCACATTTTGGGGTTTTAAAATCTTAAACCAGCTTATTATTAGAACTGTGTCTAAATACAAACTACCAAGTGAGAAAGGAGAATTTGACTGGTCTGGGAATACCAAAACAGGACTTCTACCTTAATAACACAGTATAATGACCCATTTTCTCAGAAAAAATATGAAATACTCTTGTTAAATGATCATGCTCTGATTAAACTCTGTCAAAGAAAATTAATTCCTGCTTTATCAATAATGGTTACAACTAAAGGATACTTCTACAACCCAATGAACTCTTGAGTTTGAACATGACAGATTAAACAGTACCTTCATCTGACTGTCTTGAAAAACCAGATATTTTATGCGACATTTCTTTTAACAGGATCATTTCCCTACAACTCTGAAATCCCCACAAAGTACTCACAGGGCTTGGAACTGGAATTTCCATTAAATAAAGGGGAACTTGTCTGCCTACTCAGCATAGACAATGTTTTTGAACCCTCCTGATAGGAGCTCACACAGGTAGACATAAGTAGGTAGACCTGTTTGATCAACATTTTTATCCCTCTGTACAACCTTATCTTCTCAATTTCTTAATTTTCTTAATTACCACTTAATTTCTTGTGGTTCAGGTTATCAGATTATTTTCTAACATGAAAGTTTGCCCTAAGTATGTGGGGGTAGGATTAACAATGTTTGGGATTTTCCCCTCTGGAAATGCAAGCTGGGAATAGCTGGTCATAGTTAAGAGGTGAAAGGATAGTCCTGTTATAAAGCATTAGTTGTGAAACTTGTTGAAACTCTCAGTACATAATCTCTGTGTGTCACTACACTAGATAGTACCTACTGGTATCTAGTTCATGCTCACAGTATTTTAAGTTTTGGAGGCTAATTAGCAAAAATTAACACAGGCCAACGTTGTTTGGATGAAATTCTAGCAAAGCCTCTGGCAAAAGAGCCTGGAATTTCCCAGCAGATTTCAGAATTAAAGGCCTTTAAACCTCAGGACGTGAATGAAGGAGTGTAAATCAATGAGTTTAGGAACCACATGTATAGAGACTTCAGGAACGATGCAGTTTGTGTATCACAAAGAACAAGTCTGGCTTGGGGAAAGGCTGTACCTGCTTCGTGTGCTGCCAAGTGCCTGCTGCAGCAGAACCTTCTCACGAACACAGTTTCTGTTTCAAAGTGCTGCATTACTAAGAAGATTAGGATTTGTCAAATATGAATGGATTGCTCCTATAAGTGGGTCGGAATGTACTGAAATTCTGAGGGCATTGCCTTTTAAAGAAGCCAAAAGTAGTGCCATGTAAGGGTATTTAGTGAATGATTGCATTAATGTCTTTAATTGTTTCTGTTCATTTTTGTGCCCTTTAAAGAGAAAAAAAGCATAAGTTAATAATTTTTGAGTAAGAAAACCCTTTCTTAAAAGGAGAACGCCAAAGATATGTTCTTGGACAGATGTCCTAGACAGAGCCTGTTATCAAATAAATTAGGCTGTGCCTAATGTTAGAAAGAATCTTGTAAACACACACAGAACTGTCACAACATGACTCCCTTTTGCATTAAGAACGGTCTTTTCAGAGCAAGGCACAGTAGCTAAGTAGTGATACAGCTGCACAGTTGCTAATGTCATCGTGCCTCTTCAGTAAAAGCCTGTTTACTTTCCTCAAAAATCCAGTTTACTCTGTCTTTGTTCCTGTTTCTTTCTCTGCCTCCTTTTTAATACCTCCTGTCTTTCCAGTAAATTAAAGATTTTAAAAATACCCATAGACGTAAAAAGGGACTGCCAGGATGCCATGAGCTTCCAGGGGCTGTTGTTCCAGTTTGGGAGTGAAGAGAAGATGCTTCTTTTCTTGCTGTTTACTAACTGTAACTGTACCCGGCATTTTATTTTCCTAGGGAATAAGCAGTGGCCGCTCATTATCACTTCCTGGGAGACCTTCTGCGTTCACCCCTCGAGCCATGTCTCCTACTTCTCCTCTTATATTCCAGCCTGCCCCTGATTACTTCAGCAAGCCAGACACAGCAGCTGACAAGCCTGGCAAAAGACTGACTCCCTGGGAAGCAGCAGCACGATCTCCCCTTGGCCTGGTGGATGAAGCTTTTGCCCCCCAAAACATGCAGGAATCCATCGCTGCCAACGTGGTATCGGCTGCCCGCAGGAAAATACTTCCTGAGCCACCAGAGGAATGGAAACAAAAGGTTTCTTATGAGCCTCCAGCCCCAAGTGGTAGTGTAGCCTTGCTGGGGGGGAAGCAATCAGGTGTTTTGTCACCCCAAAAAAGCTCCCTGTCTGCCCTCAGTGCCCCCTCCCAGGCTGGCTCCCAGCTGCAGTATCCTTACTGCACCCAGCGCTCCCAAACGGATCCTGATATAATGTCCATGGATTCCAGGTCTGACTATTGCTTGTCAACAGCTGATTCAAACTACAACCCACAGCCAAGGGGATGGAGACGTCCAACATGAGCAGCTGAAGGGCCTGGTGTGTTTTGCCTTCTTCCAGCTCTAAAAGTCTTAAGATTTGAGTTGGAGAAGGAAGGTTTCTTGCTGGCCTGAGGATCTCCGAACTAAAGAAATGAGGAGGCAAAATTGACTGGAGCACAGTTTTCACGTGACTGCAGAGCTTGCAGCCTCTAGAATAGACTCAGTTTTACACCTAGGATTGTTCTGTTTGTCAAAAGGCAAAAATACACATTTCTTGGGGTGAAGGGGAGGGGATGAAAGTGGGGCGATCAATGTGATTGATGCAAAAATCTGGAAAGGATGTAGAAGGTGACAGTACAAGGGCTTGCAGTTGAGCTAATGTGAAAAAAAAAAAAAGGTAAAATAAGGGCATTTTAAAGGCAAAAAGTATTTCACAAGACCTTGTAGGTTTTCTAGGTATGTTTGACATAAGTTCCAAGGTACTAAATATAGTCAGATTTGAAAAAGTTCCAATGGAAGTGGAATACTTCAGAGCACTGGCTTATTTGCCATATGTTTTCTTTACTGTGTTTTTATAATGAGCTAAGAAAGTAGATCAGTGGATATTTTTACTGTGGCAACAGCTAAAATACATCTGTGGTCATGGTACCTGAACCACCACAATATGTAGATACAGGAAATCTTCCACAGACCCCCATTTCAGATGGATTCCAAGACAGTTTGGATGCAGTTTTACACACTGTAATTAATCACAGGATCTGAAAGCACCAGGAAGGAAGGAGTTGTGAGCAGAGGTCAGTACCATGATACTTGAACAACAAAATAGCTGAGGAGTGTATTTAAACTGGATTGCAAGTGAATTCTGCAATAAACTATCGAACAAGCGAGAGGCTGAACAGACTTTATTTCTCTGTGAAATGCACTAATTGCTGAGCATTTACTGCTGCAGTGCCTCCTAATGGGACTGGCTGGGCAGTTATCTGTAGGAACTAAGCAGCTCAATGTTTAGAAAGCTTTTAGGTTGTGTTCTCAGTTTGGAAGACATAGATTTATCAAGGACAGTATCTGTTCTGTGTAGAAAATGGTATGTGAGAGAGGGCTTCTGACATGTGCTACATGGTGAGAGTCTAGTACAAATAGTAAATATTTGGATGGCTGGTTATACTGAAATGATCTTGATGGGCCTGAAGAGATGGTGAATAATTTGTGCTGGTGATAAATACCTTGCATTTACAGCTTATTTAAACAATAGAAGTATGTGGCTAAAAATATATGTATTCAAGCTTATTTGGGTAGTTTAGAGGTTGTTAAAGCATTAAATGGACACTCCAAGTTTTGCAAAGTGCTGTTAGTCCTTGTTTGTGGGAAATTCTTCAAGGATCTGTCGAGCACAGTCAACTAAAATCACTGCAGAAGAACAGTTAACTATCCTTAGTTTCAGCAAGGTTGTCAACTATGAGTGAAGTAATTAGATCAGAAAGAACTAAAACATACATGCAGTAAGAAAAAACATATTACAAAACATTCCCATCTGCAAAGATTTTTTTCCCTCGTAGCAATTATAAAATATAATTGTGAGGAAGGAAAAAGGAAAATTAAATCCAAGTTCAGTTGAGCTGGAATTTCCCATAAAAGCAAATAATTACATGAAAAATATACCCCTAATGAGTTTAAGTTGGCAGTAATTCTCTAGTCAACCAGAAGTCTCCCTGAAATCAACTGATCCTTCCGACCAAGCAGGAAATGTAGACATGAGAGCTGTGATCCTTTAGACCATGATTACATTGCTAGAGCACCTTACAGATTTATTTCACAAAATATCAATTTGCAGCTTTAAGGTACATGTAATTAAAATTTGCCAAAAGTGTCTTTAAACTTTGATATTGCAAGAAAAAGTTATGATATGTACTGATATTAAAAAGGCTTTAATGCTGTGACCACATGGCAATACGTGAAAACATACTCTAGGATGAAGCCTTAATTCTCCACTCAAAATATGCAACAAACGTGTAAGCAAAGAGTTTCAGACAGAATTACTGCCTTTCTGTCAATCTCCCGAGAAAAACAAAGTGTAGCCTTATAATTTTCTTCTATTCACAAGAAGGAACTCATCACTGAGTAATTCTGTGAAAGTGAGAATTCCTGACATTGAGTTTCATGTCCCCTTGGTAGCTAAATCATAGATTAACTTGGGTGTTTAACATGACCTACTACAGATTTTTTTATTTCTCCTCCTGTTGAGGATTTGCCAGCTCTCTTTCCCATGTGGATTCTCTCATATCTAATAGGGAATGAGTTCACACTGCAGCATTTCCCTCAATAGCAACACTGGTAAGTGGATCTGGCCTCCACCCAGCTGTCTATTTTTACAAAGTCTGTGGGCAATAGATTGTCTTGGAGATCTATTCCTCTGCCCCACAGAAATGAAACTAATAAACATTTTTGGAGTTCTCAGTGGGAGGACAGACATACAGACAGGCATGCAGACAGATCACACAGCCTTGTTTAGAAGGAAATCAGGCTAAATCCAGGCTGAGACCACGGACTGACTTCAAAGGAAGCAGCAGGTCCGGACCAGTAAATGAAATATTAATGCATCAGAGTTTTATGAAGGACCCCACAGCATTTTTCACTTTCTGTTCTTCACCCCATTCCTCCACTAGCAAAGCCTCTTTCTATCAAATAGTTGTGACTGTTGTGCGTGAGTTCTGAATATATTAATGCAATTACTTCTTACGTTTGTTTTGGAATGCACAGATCTGCTCAGTAAATGTGAGGAAAAAGTTCTCTTGATATTGGCTTTGTGTTCACCCTCAGAGGTGCCTCTGTTAATAACATGCAGAGCATTTGAATACACAATATAACTGAAAATTTAGTTTCTTTAGTTATGTTAGGTGATGATGTTCACAACTCTTTGTTCATACTTTGTTTTCATTTTGGTTTGCTTTGACACCAAATATCTACTCACGTTGCATTTCTGCCTAGTAGCAAAGGCTGTGTTATCTTTATAAAAGACTTTTCACTTCTAAAGACTTTTGCTCACTGCAAAGGACACTTTACTTGAGCCTGCATGCCAGAGATGTAAATTGTATCATATAATAAAGTGATTTGACCAATCAGATGAGAAACACAATTTTGTTCTCCCTAAATTCTTGTCTGTTTGTTTAAATAATCTGAACCCAAGTAAAGCCTAATCTCTTTTTTTCTGCACCATTTTTAGACTCACTGACTTTGCCTGTCAGTGACCTCGTGCTGGTATGAGCTTCTAGAAGCTTAAATCAGCATCAGGTCAAAAGGCAACTTATCAAATTCAGTAGAATTTCATTTCCATACTGACTAAGCAGAGAAAGGAAACACAGTGAAGCACAATCTACCCAGGTTAAATGATACGATCAGGACAGTTTTTATTGTTTGAACATTCTCATCCCAACCATAAAAACTGCAACTAATATCTATTTACTATAGTTACTTCTCTACCTTACAGGCATCTAAACCTCTGTTTAGTTCCTGTAGGTTTGGTCATTGCTGTATTCTCTTGTTGTTTATTCTCAACTGAAACATACTGTTCAAAAAAGAAATAAATATTGTGAATAAATTGTAAACCCGGTGTTTATACCATTCAGGCTATTTGGCTGAATAGCTGGTAAGGAAATAAGGACAGCACACACAATCTATCTGTGAAAAGCCAGATCAGATTTTCACTAGTGACAGGAAACAAATCACAAAGCAGTTTTTGCATTTGTAAAGCAAGCAGGATTTTGTCCCCAACGCTGATGCATGTAAAACTTGGGGAACCGAAAAAGCTCCACAATAGCATTTTAATAGCTTTGCTCTACAAAGGATTTACAAGGTTATAAGAGACTCAGTACTATTCTTTTCATGGCTATCTTCTCGTTCTTTTTTTGGGGAAGTTCTTAAATGCATCATAAAAAAAGCAAGCTTAAGCCAGATTCACGGTTTAACATTGTAAGTCCAGAGAGACAGGTGGATGTTTTCAGGCCAGTATCTGGTTTTCCTCAAACTGAACATTTATGCTTTGCAATTGTTCACTGGATATATTACTGGGTTTTAAAAAGAAGCTTTGTGTTGCTGCTGAGGCAGAAACAGCACTCAATGTGCTCCAAAAGGTTTGCTGTTTGTTCACACATTTTCAGAACTAAAAGAAGGACTTAAAGTATTTTATACTCAAAGCAAAATGACCTCGGGAGTGTTTGTGAGCGTGCACACTAAGCTGTGGGGTTTTTTTCTGGATAAAGAAAGTAATGGCTAATTAATAGATGTTAATGGAGAACTAAGAGAACATATTGTGCTGTGGTACAGTCCAAACACAGCTGGAAGGTTATAATATACTGACCATACAGAAAAGGAGTTGATGATAAACCACTACATCTATTTTTGTCTTTAAAATAAATCAAAACCCGAGGACAATTTGGTCTAAATAGTGCAGAGGATCATGACTTCTTTTTTCCCTCTAAATGAAGAAACTGAAGGAAAGATATGCTAATTGCTGGAAAAACAATGCTGCGTGTTGCAAATATTTTTAAGCAGACTCTAGACAAGCAGAATTTGCCCAAGGCAAAAATGGAAAAGAAGAAGCTTCACCGAACTCAGAGTCAGAGTAACAGATGCACTGGTATATTTTCCCAGCATGAACAAACTCACAGAACTGTGGCAGTTATAAAACAATCGCCACTTTTCAATGTTTTTAACAATTTGCTAAGCCATCTTAGTTTTAATCTTCCTGTTATCAATGGATGCACTTGAGTTTAATCTCAGAAAATCAGTAATTTTTGGAAAAGAAGAATCAACATAAAGTCAGCATATGCTCAACTCTGTGGTATTTCTAATAATTTTTTTTTAACAGAAAAGCTTATAAGCATAAATGCAGCATTTTTGACCAGGTGCTCATCAGCTACTCTGATTTTTAGGTGTTTTCAAGACAGTTCATATTTACAGTTAAATTCCCATATCTTGCCTATCAAATAGTTTGTATTTTGGAACACAGAATTTAAACTGAAGCTCTCTATTGAATTACTTGCATGCACAAAATAATAGCTTAAGCTGCCAGTTTTCTAAAAGATGAGAAATAAATAGATATTTTTCTAGTTTCCAAGTAATTCTCCACTATGGCTCCACATAATTTCAAGTCTTAAGTGGAAGTTCAAGATTATTCTGTTCACTATGCCTGTGAAGTTCACCATTCTTTACTTCCTATGGCAGTTTAAAACACCAAGAGGTTTTCCATGTGGTGGTAAAAAAAAAAAATTAAAAATATCAATGTATAAACTAATAAATCTACCTACTGAATCCATATGCCCTCAGAAAAATGTAGTTCAAAGAAACACAAAGAACAGGACAACAAGGCAACAAAAATCCTTGGACCACATGGAGCAAAATCCTGATTCCAGCTAAGACATTGGGAGCTTTGCTAATTTACCACTTATGTCAGCAGGGCAAGGATTTCACCTCACAGAGAAATGTGCAGCACCACAAATCACAACTGGTTGTGAATTCACAAGCACTGGACTGGTGTCAGCAGTTTGGTAGATTTGTGAAGCCTGTAGGATAAAAAATGTGATTGACAAAACAATAAGGCACCAACCAGAATTTCTCATGTCACCTTCTACTGGGAACTTGCTCTTTTCTATGTGCAAACATACAGAGAGTTATCTCAGCTGAGACTCTTGAGGCTCGGGTTACTGTCTTGGCCTCCTGTATAATCAATGAGGAGGGGCATTCTTAAAAAGAGTAACTCCATCCCCAAATAAATGCATAAAATAGGTGGGCTGCATGCTAAGTCTACAGGATATATGGATAGATGAGGATCAAAGAGTTTTTGACAGAGTGGAGAGTGCAGGAAGGCAGGTGATTATACATGCCCCTCTCTCTCTTTCTACTTATACAGGTATTTCTTCAGTACAACTATTGCAAAATCTTTGGCATGTGAATTATTTTTTTAAAGGGTGAAGCTGTTACAGGAAGTGAAATTTTAATTTTGATCACATTAGGATAAGTACACGGTTAAAGTACAAGCAACACCTCATTAAGCTGGACAGTAAAATAAAAAGGCAAACAAAGAAACAGAATACACAGCTGTGTTTCTGGATCTGAGGTGGTTTTTGTGCTACAGCACATCCTGGTGCAGTGAGTTCTGAGAGGACTAATGGCTGTGGGACTGTGCTGCCTGGCTGTGCAATGGCAGCCCAGCCTCAGAAGCTCTGGAACCATGTTCTTGCAGAGCTGCACCTGAATTTGCTCCTTGCCCACCCAGGCTTGATCTGGTATGAGAAATGAAACCCCAGCACCCCAGACACAGGCTTACATCGCCCTGAACCCATCTAGGTTTGTAGAGGTCAGACTGGACAGTTCTGTACTTGTGACATGGATCAACAACAGACCCAATAATCCACCCAAGGACAGCGAAGAGACGGTGGTTGTTATTAAGGCAGCCAAAAAGATCTCGAAGTTTAGGTAGATGCTTTTTCAAAATCACTGGGGAGGTTTCTCAAAGGAACAGATCCCCACTCATCTCCTCCTGTATTTTAGTGAGCTGTTATTTACCCTGCAGAATTAGACACAGATCACTGTGTTCTGGGTGTACACTACTGGAATTAGATGTGACTCCCGTGTATTTAGCCTCAAGTGAGTAGCAGGATGACCAGAGGTTTGGATGGCAGCAATCCAAATGGATAACATTCAGGGAGTAGCAACAGTAGCTTTATTTTTTCCCTTGTGACCTTTGTAACAGTTTCTACTCCTTTGAATGCTCTGCCATAAAGTGTACAGGAGGGCAGAGAACACAAAGGTGCTTCAGGACTAAGTTCACAACTACAGTGAGGATTAAGGGCACATTGTAGCTCTTTTCCCCAGATAATAATTTGACTGTTTGTGCCTTTTATATTTATTACTTTCCCATTTAAAATTTTTGCCATTATTTACGATCTCCCTTTTGGATGCTCTAGTGTGTGTGAGATGCATTGTATTTTTTGACAAAGCATATAAACCTCCTGAAAAAGCATAGTTAAAAACAGGCAAAACCCAGGAATAAAAATAAAATCGTGTGTTACCAGTAAAGCAGAAAGATTCTATTATATTAGAACATGGGATGGGGTAGGTTTCCAAGCTTCTATTTCCCTCTGTGTTTTAGGGACTGGTGCAACCCCCAGAACACCTGACTCTGGTCCCTTTGTCACACAGTGGCACAGACAGAAACACAGCTGGGAGAGCACAAGAAAACAGAGCTAAGACAAGTCAGTAGGCAACAGTGCTAAGCCTACTGGCATACTATGCCAGTAAATAAAAATAAATCAAAGATATTATACTTAATTTTATCATCTTTTTTTATTAAAAAGCTAAGGAGAACAACATGTTATGGACACTCAGCAGTGTGAAGACCCTATGCAGTCCTGTACTTAGCAGCAATAACTAATCTGGCTAGGTAATTTCATTTATTTTCTGCTAAAAGATGATCAATTTGTCACTAAACACTTTAAACTTACTTACTGAATATTATCATATTTATCTCTCTCAAGTGTTTCAAGCCCAAAACAGGACAAGCACTTTAACTAAGCCTAGTGCTGTCCAACAGAGGGCAATGGTACACAATCCATATGATCCATATTATTTCCTCTCCCTGACAAGGCCTCAATTTCAACAGAGAAGCTTTGGCACAGTTGGAGAACTGTCTGGACACCAGACAGTGCCATTATCAGCGTGTCCACATATACACTGGAGCAGAAGCAGAACTCAAATGCCATAAAAACTTTACAGCTTGAGCTAAAGAAGATGGTATAGGAGGTATTCCTACAAACCTATTTAATGAGGGCCACAGACACACAAGCTAATTATTCCTGACCTCAACCCCACGGGGTGGACAGACGTCATCATCCCGCTGCACAAATGGAAGAAAACATGACAATGAGAGAACATGTGCGTTGCCCAGGGCTGTTGGGACAATGGCAACACTGGACCTCAATTCAGGCATTCCCGGCTCTTGCCTTCACCTATAATCCACTGACTATTTATAGCAGCAATGCATACTTCACAACCAGCACAATCATATTCTTACAGCTCAGCAAACAAATAGCCAGGAAGCTCCAGATCCTATGAAGAAACAATCTAGTAATTCACGAGACTGAGTTATGGCCCAGTCTGCCAGACAAACTTCAACAAATTCTGAAAGAATGGGAGGCTTTGGAGTTGTTTACTTATAGTAACCACAGCTGAGTGAACAGAGATGAACCTCAAAGGGCAGTAGAAGGAGTAGTTTAAAAAGCCAGAATAAAAGGGGAGTGTGCATTTGCTTATCACAATGAAAGCGCCATGTCACCACTCTGGTCTCACTTGAAGTCTATAATAAAGCAAACAAAACTCATCCAAATAAACAAAACCAGAAGTTTCTGTTACATCATGAGTTTCCTCATGAGCCACTGATAAATCATCACTGGCAATGTCTTCAGTCTGATGTCTGTTACTAAGGAGCACACGTTGGTTTTGTATCTGTCCCAAAAGTGATGCAAAATACACATTCAGCTGCTATCCAGGTGCTCAGCTGTGCCACTAAAGGGAAAAGAATGGCACAGCCATATTCAAAGGCATCAGATGAAGGAGTTTCTTCCACTAACCTGGGGAAAAGGTGACGTACGTGAAAAATTATGTCATTGTAGATGGTGTAAGAGTTTCTCTTGTGACTCCTTGAAAACTACTGTAATATGAAGTCGCATGATTAACTTACAAATGAGTGAGCAAAACTTGACCAACTTGCCCCTTTCTCAACAAAGTGGAGTTAACAATTAACCTCCGCTTCCAAACAGGTAGCATAACAATAAATGGAGATAAAATCAGTGTGCTGGCAAAGTATTTTTATAAACAAAAAGCTCAAAAAAAATCTGTTATAATGAGTTAGCAATGCTAATTCCTGGAAACAGAAATCTTCTGGAAAAAGAAGAAAAGACAACAAGTACATGAATAGAAAACAGCACGCCCACTTCTAATGAATCTTCCTTAAAAGCACAGCAGTAAGGAACAGTCTTAGGATAACTAACAAACATACAGTAAGTTTATATGAATACCTGTCCACAAATTTCAGCCCTGTAGACATGATATAAAATACCAGCCATTTCCATGCAAGATACTAAGGCACAGTGTCTGGGGGAAAGAGAAGGAAGTTGGCATAATTAAAATAGATTATATGCACAGACAAAAATCATGCAGACTTGGGTGTTTGCAGCTTCCTTGACATGCAGGCCCAAGTTATCATCCAGTACCAAAGAGGATGATGACAGTATTATATAGCTGTTTATTTGAATTTCATTCCTAACAGTAAATACAATACAAGGAAAAAGGCAAAAACATTGGATCTGTCCTCCCTAATTGCTCACCCAGGCCTCTGCTTTCCTATGGCTACAGGTCATGGCTATCTGCCCTAAATCAAATGTCAAAGCACCAAGAGAAAATTTCCCTAGGGAAAAAACCTTCAGCCTTTGTATTTATGTGTGTACTCTCTATATTATACACACCATTTTTTCCTAGTGCAATAACTGAAGAATAGCTTCTGTCAGAGTTCAGATGAAAGGGAGCCCAAGGGAACCCCCTGAGTCCTGCACTAATGACTTTTATTCTTGTAGTGTATTTTTTGAGGGGTGGAACTATAAAGACAACTCGAAGTTCCAGACCTTTGCCAACCATAGTTTCTTGTTTCTTTCAGTTCTGTCCTAAGCAAGAGAGGAATTTGGAAAAGTAAATGCTGGCAGCTCCTGTTTGATTTAACAGATAAGCTTTATCTGAATTAAGGGTTGGTACAGCAAGTGTTACCCCACTGGGCACAATTCAGGGGAGCTAAAGCAATGAAGAAATTACTCAGGGAAGTTAAACTCACATGGACAATCCTACCAGGCATTCCCTTAAAAGTGTGAAGAGTTCTAACTCCACATCTGTAGAATATCAAGACTGAGAATGGAAAATATCTATGGCATGGTTGGGCTCTTGTGAAGTGGAATATATGAGATAGTAGGAGTTTTGTTTTGTGCCATTAGTCCTGGAATGTTTCTAAACTAAATGAATCTGTGAAGAAAGAATTACAAGCAATAGGACTGAGAGGAAATACAGCAGGTTTCAGGAGCGATGTATTCCTTCTATTTTAAAATATGTCTTCTTGCAGAGATGCAACTATGGATCAAAGTTTGGTCTTTGAATCTTCATATTGAAGAGTTATGTATTTGAGTTCATATTTATTTGGATGCAGTAAATTACTTTTTATAAAAAAAAATTGGGGGGGGCAGACTAACGATGGTGTAATCCAGCAAGGATTACTTCCAAGGCTGTTGCTCCTACTTGGTAAAGAATAGTATCCAATCTATTGCACACCTTCCAAATATACTGTAAAACACACACTTACTGTGGCAACCTGCTCCTTGAGGGATCTCGTCTGCATGACTCCAATAACAGCTAAAGGAAAAAAATGGAAGAAATGCCAAGAATTAATCACAGACTGAGAAATTATCCCTAAAACAACTGCACAGTAGTATAGGAGCTGTTCTCTGCATAATGCAAACTACTGCAATATTTTGCACTTCAGAGAGTCAAACTGAAAGGTGTATTTGGGAGTATAATGTAGTAACACTTCTTCAGTTGTGATGTGTTACAGTTTTGAAGTTAATACTTGCTTAATCTAATGATACAGTATTCAATCTCACCTGATCAGGTTAGGCACCAACAAGCAGAGCCTTTTAAATGGGTTTGGGAACAATGCTCGAACTTTTCAAAGGTAAGGTCATGACACATCTTGATGACACTGCAACAAATAAATGGTACTTCTAATTCAGTACTTTTATGCTAACTCAGAAAAAGAACATCTGCTCAACTGCAGGCTTTCTGCATTTCAACCATGAAGTATTCCAATTAACTTCAATGTTAATGGGATCACCAGGAAATACCCAGACACTGGAGAAGTCACAAAGCAGAACAACAACATCCTCAGTAGCATTTAGCGAAAATTCACTAAAGATGGTTGGTAATTAACAGTGACAACACAGAAACTCTTAAGCTACTTTGAAAACGAAAACATCAAACAGGAAACAAGTTCAGCCAGACCATAACTTCAGAAATCAGGCCTACATCTCATGATTCATTATTGGGAAAAAACCCCCACAAAATCAATAGACCCCACAACTTCTCTGCTAATACTGAGTCTGCCTATGCAAAAACACCTTGGGAAGAACCCCCACAAAGGCCAAAGGCAGACTTTGAGCTTTAGATGTGTCACCTTACTAATAAATAATCATTCTGCTACTTTAATAATCTCTGAAAGCTTTTAAAACACATCCAAGTATCCCTGCTTCACAAGCCATTCACTGACACTCAATGCCTGGAATGTCAGCAAATATTACAGGGTTGCAAGAGGAATATTCCTTGCTTTGGTCACATGATTGTCAGCTGAAGATGACCAGAAAGTTTATTTAGATGTCTTCTTCATTTCTGCTACCTTCACTATGTAAGGATTTCATTTCTCAGCACAGAATTGAAGGTCAGCAGAAAAGCTTGATTCTTAAGTACTTAATTGTCTGAATGAAATGGACCCATTTTGACCTAAAACTTCTGGTCTTTTTTGTACTGTTTACTCATTTTCAAAAATACATGTGTTCTTCCATAAGACCAGTGCAAATCCATCTCTCTTCAGCGGCCAAATAAGAAATTCATTTTCCACGTAAAACTAATCCTGAATTCACTTCTTACAAATACTTGAAAAGAAAACTCAGTATGTCCTGAGGGTGAATTTTCCTCAGATCTCTTCACTGGAGAAAACTGACCTCCCAGTAGAGGATCTGTTCCCTTAGAGTCATCTGCAACCAGCCTTTAACTTGCTCTCTCAGTCTTCCCCTGTCCTGAATAAAGAGAAACAGACAGTTACTGAAAAATGTTGGTCCAAGTTTGTGGTTTGGTAACCAGCAATCTCTGTGTCAAAAGTCCTTTTGCCCAGTATCACATTGTGAAGCCTAAAAATAACCTGGCCTCTATATTTACACTGTTGGATAAGGTAAGTCACTAAATTCATGTTCAAAACATGTAAATAAAAATTACTTACTTTTCAGAAGTGCTGAGACCTGAAAACAGTAAACAGCATAAATGCCCATCACATCTTAAAATCAGCCCCCTGATCTGCAGCCTGAACATGGTGCTGGATGTGTAATTTTAGACGTCTAGATTTTAAATGCTTCCTAAAAACAGTCTCAATAAAGCTGGTGACAAGCTAAAACAGGAATTTAGAGGCCTGCTGGTTTTTCCCAGTCATATAGGTTCTTTCTGCTTTTCCAGCCCAAGTGTTTTCAGCTGTAGGTATGACCAAACAGGCAGTGGGATTCACTGGTACATTTAGGACTCAGCTGCAGGACCCCCTGCAATGGGTGTACACGGTTTCCTTGGACATTCAAACGAGCTGGGCATGTGCTACAGGGGAAATCTTATTTGGCAGGTGACACCACCACACAGCATTGCAATGCACTGAGTACACAGACAAATCCTGCTTTCATCCTTCTGCAGCAGCAAAGCCCTATTAGCTGACACTCCCTTCCCTGAACCAATCATGGACATATCCTTGTTGTCATTTAAATATATTCCTGTGAAGGACGGGCAGCACAGGATAATTTATTTTCACAGAGCAGCTATAATGATTAATGGGAACATAATTTCCCATAACACAGGGATACTAAAAAGAGAAAGAAATGTGGGACAAGTTATGTAATGTGTACTAACTGAAATATGCTGCATGTCTCTGGAAGGAGACACGACCCTGCTCTCTCTGGAGTGAACAAGAGCTTTGGCACTGAGGGAAACCTCGGTGTTTCAAATCACAGCTCTAGTTCCCCAAATTTATTTTAATTTACAGTGCAATACTCTTGTGAGCAGCATCAGGGACAAGCTGAGGAAGAAGAATTAAAAACTACTACACCCAACAGCAGAATATTCACTACATGACATATTCCCATCTCACAAGGAACAGTATCATCCCTGTTGACACTCAGGTCTAAAACTTGGGGACCCCAAGAGCTGCCTTGCCCAAAATGCCATGGACAAAGCAAGGTTAACACAGTGGCCCTGTGTCAGGACTGAGGGTCACCCAGACTTTGAGACATTAGTCTGAATCACTTACAAATAGCAACTGTACCCAGAGGAACAAGTGTCTTGGAAAGAAACCACTGTTACCCAGGATGACACTTCTCCTGGAACCGTGCTGAAGTTTCCAGGACAGACTCCCTTCAATTCAAGGGATTATAAGGCATGCTCACAATGTTTTTCCTCAGGGCAGCAGGAGTATCACAGCATTTCTTGTGGTAATAATTTCTTCTTCTCATTTTTCTTGTCAAACAGAATTAGGTGCCTGGTCATAGGCGCTTATGTACATGCCTGCATCAAGAAACAGGATGTTCAGCTCAGGTCTAATGGTCACCTCCCAGGCCAGAGGAGGCAGAACTGAACCCACAGCTTAACCTTCTGCATCTCACAAGTTAACTCTGACATCACTAGCAACAAGCAACAACAGTACAAAAAAATTTAGTCTACTAGCCATAAAATTAAATTATGTGGCACAGGTTGAAATTCTGCAAGTAAATCTGGGTTTTTTTTCATATAAAAAGTAATTTTTTAGGTTAGAAATTTCCATTACAGAAGATGTAACAAATAACTTCCACAACTCAAAAAGCCCACAAGTCCTACAGATCTACTGACAACACAGAGCATTCCCTTGGTAAGACACCCAGTTGGCCCTTAACCAGTATAACAGTAGAAAATATTTAGAAAATCTACTTAGAAAGTAAATTTGGAAAATATGTCAGCTATTAAAATAGTTTAATTAAATTATTAACTATTAAATTAAATTATTAAATTAAATCTATGGAATTAATTTTACCCACTTTGTCCTACTGCGCTTGGGCATGTTTTAAGGGAAAAGAATATCTGATCAAAAAAATAACAGGACTTTCAGTAGCTGCTACATTAGTTATCATCAGTTCTTCTAGTAAAACATTTGACAATATAAATCAGATTTATATTTAAGCTGTGTGCTTGTGATATGGCATACCAGGTGGTTGTGAAGCTGCAAGACTGTACCACGGTCTGGTTTCCATATTTCTAGTGTTGGGAAGAATTCAGATGAGGATTAATCATAAAACAGATGGAAGAGACTATTTTTATAAGGGAAAAAAAATTGTTACTTTCCACAGGGGGAAAATAGACAAATGTTTTTTCAGTTAATAAAGTGGATGCTGATACAGGGCCTAGCAAAAGAAGTAATTAGAAGTTATGCTAGATTATATTCTTCTAGTAGACAAAAGAATCTTCCTGGAACATGAATAAACTAAAAGATCTCTGGATACAACTATAATTCATATAAAGTGCATTGTTATAGAAGATGGGATGTTCTCTTTTCTGGGAGAATTCAGTTGACCTAAAAAAATATAAATAAAAAATACATTTGAATAAGTTTGCACCCCAGAAAGTTTATCAGTTGGGGGAAAGAATTAGAGCCAGTGATAAATGAAGCCTGAGATTCTAAAGGAATATTTACATTTTTTTCCACTGAAGTACTACACAGAAGTCCCAGGCAAGATGATGAACTGTACAGAGTACCAAACAAAGGAAGAAGAAATACTGAAAACATGCTTGGTTTATATTTTTGTTTGGGGAAAAAGCATTTAAACTAACAGAAACACGACAGCAATAAAAGTTACTGTGCTACCCTTCTGCAGAGCACTTCTTAATACCTTTTAATACAAGGGTATTTTCCTGCCAATGTTTCCCTATGAAAACACTTGGCCACCATTCCTTGTTGGTTTTGTTTTTTCATTGACTATTTCCTGCCAACACAGTTCCTGTGAGTGCTCACCACAGTGTTCCCACTTAGCCACAACTCCACCTCAGCCTCTCTGCCTTTACACTCCGGTGACATTCTCAGCTTGGCAGATTTATTTCATTTAAATAGGATTAAATTTAAAGATTTATTTCATTTAAAATTATTTCAACCTGAAAAGGTATACAACCCGTAATTAATAAACACAGGCTTGATGTTGCTTATGCCTGGATGTAGGAAAAATAGTCCAGATACTCTTCTTTCTGTTCAAATTTGTTTATAGCTCTAGAAACACTTATTTTGTCCTGCAGTCCACTTTTGTGCTGAAGGGCTCTTGAACTTGTGCTTCAACTAGTGGAGTCATGCTCTGGAGCTGTAACCCCCAGCAGTCACTAGACCAAACACATAAAACTGAACAGGTGTTTATTGGTAGAATCAGGAGCTCATTTTTCTTTAAACCACAAATTATTTCCCCCCTGATTATTCTCAGCTTTGTTTACCAGTGTTTACCGTTTTAAGGCTGATTTTTAAGTGGTGGAATTTTGCTCTCTTCTTTGTTTATTTTTAAGAGTTCACACTGCCCTGACTTAAAAACAAACATCTGAGCTGCAGACCACATATAAAGGACCTCGCCCTGCTCACAACAAAAGTCTCGTTGTCTTCTCTGAGTTCATTTCAAACCCCAAATTTATAGAAGTTAGATCAACCAGATCCTTGCAGAATGACTTCTGCCAGCATCACAAGTCAAGCTTGTAGCTGCCTTACCAGAGACAAAAGAATTCAATGGATATGAAGAAGGCAAATACTTTTGCTCTGAGTTGGGGCTGACAAAGTGCAGGAAAGCAGAGCCAGGCCAGCAATGCTGTTAAAATGTCAGGATTTAATCTCAAGTTTCAAACTTGAGGTTTTTTTTTCAAATTCTAGCTCCTGCATTCACAAGAATCTGAGCTTTCCAACAGCTTCTTTCCAGAAAATTGAAAAGATGTCTGAAGAGCGTCAGAAAAAAATTATTATATACTTTCCTTGTAATGCAGTTAAAACTACACATTATTTATAAACCGTTGTCCAGAAGATGGATCTTTATTCTGAATGGTTGGATTTGTCAATACAAAGTTAGAAAAATAAGTATGGAATTAATCTGCTAATCTGATAGTATCAATAGAGCTCATAAAAACAAGATACACATTGAGGATCTTCAACTTCAAATACTTTAAAAACATACTGCATTCTTTACCTTTATTAAATGTATTTTGGACTAAACTTTCCCCCTTCACCTTCAAAAACAAAAGCTCCAAGATACTCTGCCAATTTGGTGTTTGGCACTCTTCAGCAAACAGAAGAAGTTCAACAACTTGGCAGAAGAGTCAGTCTTTCCTTTGAACTCCCTTTTCTTTGGGAATGCTTCCTTTCAAAATCACAGTACCAGCAGCAAAAGCTAACGAAAGAAAATTCTCAGGTATCTGAACTCTTTAGAGAAGGCACCTAAACAGATTCACCAGATATGGAGAAAGAGGTTAGAACTAAATGAAGGATCAAGAGGACTTCTTTCCAAACAACCTGCCAAAGAGATGTGCATGCCATGCAGTATTTAAGAAGAAAGCAAGGATGCTCTCTTTTTGAGCCACTTATGCAGACACACCCCATGTTTGTGACACTGTGTCAAACTGTAATGTTGTTACAAGCAGGGAGAAGACTTGTGTCCTTTTCATGAAAGAAAAAAACACCCAAATAATATGTCAAGCTCACAGTGCAGTGGACCACCCACAGAAACAAATGAGTTTTTAACCAGACCATGAGAACATGCACATGATAAATTAAAGCTCCCTGGCCTGCTGCTGGCTCTGATTAAGTCTTTGACAGCACAGGCCTGTGCTTGTGGCCTCAGCCCTTGGGATTAAACCAGGCTCTCAGCTTTGTGTTTTCTGAAAATGAGTATTTCAACTGGAAATAAAGCATGAAAGTGTCAGCCAACACTTTACACTCATGCCATATCTGTTGTTCTTGTAGCCCAAATTACAACCATGCCCACACTTCCACAGCATCCCAGGCCTGCTGAGGCAATTGTCCCATTCTCAGGGAGGAGCAGGGATGGCATTGTGCCTCCAGGGGAAAAAAAAGCTCTGCTCCATCATCACTTCTGCATAGAAAATGTATTTCTAATATGCCTGTCCTAAATTCAGAAGGGTCCCACAGCACAGAAAAAGTGCTGCTGAAGAAATGCTCCTTGCTCCTTGTGCCTATTATTATGGATTATTTAACTGCAGCCAAACACAGACCACAGTCTCCAATGAGTTGTACCCATCAAACCATGAATTTCAATGAGGTGAAGTATTATTTAACAACTAAGATAATTAAGCCAGCCTGTGAGTCTGTGAACAAGGGCAACGTTTACCTGTCATCCTCCTTTAGGTCTTTTTTTATGTTACAGGCAAGGCAGTTAAAACAGGAGGGCTATTTTTGGTGGGTTTTGATTTTTGTTTTTTGTTTTTTTTTGCAATCTTTCTGTGCAAATTGTTAGTAGGTCTGATGTGGCAAATGTAAATCCCACAAAGATAATGAAAATACTAAAGCATAGAATGTCTTCCTATGGATCCCAGAAAAGAAAAGTATATATATCTTTGGATCCTGAACAAAAAGACAATAGTAACAATATTTTGAAAAGTCTATCAAACACATACACATTATTGAATACATTATGTCAATACCTCAAATATGTCAATACCTCTTGCCAGTCTGTCCAATGTAGCTACAGAGAAATTACCAGTCCAGCAGTTAATTGAAATGAAAATATTTAATTTTTTATCTGAAAACAATAATGATTTCCTTTCCCTAAGCAAAACTTAAAATTAGACATATTAAAAAAACCTGTTTTTTTCCACACTTTTCATAGGCAGGGAAGTATATTCCAGATAATGCTACAATTTCTTTTTTTTCATTCAAACAAATTTGAATTTAGAACTGCCTCTGACAGAATGCAGGACATATTCCATGAAAATTTATAATAAGATTTACAATAACAGGACTTAGTCTCATTTGCAACACATGTAGGAGGTTTAGGTTCAAACTTTAGGCAAACCCAAGATTATAGGTACACTTATATCTGTGGAGGCCAGTTTCATTTTAAAAAGCAACTGCAGGCAATTTATCTCTACCTAATTTATTCTTTGGCTCCAGTCAGGTATTTCTCAGTATGTAATACCTGTAAATAATTATCTGAAGCTCAGATGGACACAGAATACAGAAACATCAGTTACATCATTCACTGAACAGTGACTTTGCTGTTGTGTAGTAACCACAACCCCCTTTTTTACAAACAGATGTATATAATCCCTGTGAACCTCTAGATTTCACTCATATTGTGACTGAAATCCAAGGCATAAAATTAAGCATATATGGCAGCCACAGCCTCAGGATGAATTTAAGCACCTGCTTAAATTAAGAGAGGAGAGGAGAGGAGAGGGGAGGGGAGGAGAGGAGAGGCAAAGGACATAAAAAGAAAGAAAATGAGGGATAAATAGTTCAGTCTTTTTCCACTTGCCAGCCTGGGCATCCTTTCTGGCCAGTTATGCAATTCAGAGGAAGCAGTGTGGTGGGAAAGATCCCACAATGTGCTGGAAAAGGCCAGACCAAAAGGAAAAGTCTTGGTTACACAAAAATGACCTAAAGGAAGGAGACAGGTCAATGTTATCCTTGTTCAAAGCCTGACTTACTCATCCTAGTTTGCCACTAGTTAAATAATTATTCTCATTGAAATGCAAGGTTTGATTTTGTGATGATTCAACCAAGAGGGTGACCACGATTTTTGGTACTGTTGAAAGTGTCTGATCCAAGCACAAAAACTAGAAAAGAATTACCAATGAGTAACAGCAGCAGGTAAATTCTGATGGTGAGGATTAAAATGACCGTTACTTTGGGGCGGAGATGGCCAAGGATCTCAGAAATATATTTAGCAAAGCTAGGTCTGGGAATAGAAAGCTTGAGGAGAAAATAATGCAGTTTGTTGGTTGGACAGACACAGTTTCAGGACATTGCATCAGGCACACACATTTTATTTTTCTCAGAGAGCTTCTTGCTTGAAAAGTTATGCACACTGTGTTGGTGTATTTTATTACTCTCCAGATGCCATTTGCAGTCAGAATTCCTTACTCCTGTCATATCAGGGTAGAAGCAATTTTCTGATCAATCCTCCAAGCCAAATAAGACCATCATTTTCCACAAGAAAAAGGAACTTTCTAGAACAAACTCAAATCCAAATTGGAAATACAAAAATTTCACCTGGCTTTTACTGCCTATCTTGCTGCATTCACACAGGAAGGTAAGAGGGGGGAATGTTTCCTTCTGCTACTGTTTTATTCTGTCCAAAACTGGTCACTGTCGTGAAATATCTGTGCTCTACATATCACACATTTCCTTGATAAACTGATACAACACTATCCTGGAATGCTGAATATTAGTAAGCTTCAAATTACTGCAGGTTTCTGTCCCCATTTTACAAAGAAAATGAAGGGATTTTGGGTAACAGTTTGCAAGGCCTGTGCTTGTTGAGCAATTACTCCCTAGCACATATAACACTGAAAAAAATCTCATTTCTTTTCCAGAACAGACCCTGTAGATCAGCCATCTGCCACTGACTTTAGCCATCAGCTCCTACTGAAGCACGGTTTCATCTTTCACTAAAGGATTAGCCCATGCCATTCTCATCTGATATAGTCTTGTCCATCCATATATTTAAAGCCTTACTTTTACATGTCTCTTTCCTGCTTGTAACACAGAGGTTTTTATTCTCAGAGGTGATGAGGAGATGAGGAGAATGATCTGTACAAGTATGAGGGGAGCATTCCACCAAATCTACCAATAAGCTCTGAAATGGATATAAACTCTCTTTGTTGTGGGTGCAGTTGAATCTTTTCTGTTCTCTTCTTTTGCCAGGAAGATATGAGTGGCTGGAGTGTTTGATTCTAAATATAACTAGTTGATGTCAGCTGGATGCCAACCCCTTTGAAGAGGATCAGCCCCCAGTTTGTCTCAGTACTAGGTACCATGCAGATCCAAGCACAAGGGTACAAACCACCCAGGACCAGGCAGGTCAGCCCCATGCATAACTAACTCCTGAAGCTTCAGCTAAAGCCTTGAGGCCGCTTTTTATCTGCACAACCAAACAGTAGGGTAAGTGTATTGTTTCCTGAAATATTTTGACATTGTCTGTCCTGCAAACTGTCATATAAAAGACATTTATGTAACCTCTAGACTCTGCAATTTAAAAGGTGTTTGGGGTTTTTTTTTATTTAGTCAGAAATGCACCTTTTTTAAAGATGCCAGAGTAACTTCTTTAGTTCCTCAAATTCTTATCAGATTAAGAAATCTCAAAATGTAGCATTTCTAAAATAATAAACCTAGATGTAAATTAAAACCAGTTATGAGCTTACATCTTTTAGAATAATATGTAGATGTGAGAAGGCCTAGACCACTGACACTGATTTTTGCTGGAGAATTTACGCCGCCAACTCCAAGTCCATTCCTTTGAATCTTCTGTCCATCAAAACATGTCCTAGCATCTGTCTGCAAGCAAGAGCTGCCAGTGCATTTTGCAGGGCAGTATTTCTCAGTCAGAAATACCCGACTTCCCTGCTCAGCCATTCTAGACAGGCTTTTGGAAATGAAACGGGCCCGACTGTGCGCGCCGGCTCCACAATGTAAAAATGTGTTGTTTTTTTTCCAGCAAGGAAAAATCGTATCAGCAAATCACAATGTTATCAGATTCTGCCCTGATCAAAGAGAGGAAAGAACAAGCATCAGCCATTATGGATGAAATACACAGCAATGGTATAGCACTGACCCCAGCTTCCTGCATATGCAATGTCCTCTAGCCCTCCCTAATACAGTTTTTTAATCATAGAGTTTAACTCTCTTACAGCTTTGTCTCTGGGTGTTTTGCCATAAATAATCTTGTGGGAGTATCATGCTGCCTATGGTAACTAATCCTTTTGTAGTTGCCTCTTTTCATTTGAAAGCTATTTTCAGATGAACAACTGCTGTGGAGGAATGAAGTAATCTAACAGCTGATGTACATTCTGCTAGGATACCCTTTCAGAACATTATTTGGGGTTAATAACATGACTTCATTCCATTTTAAAAGGCTATCATCTAAGAAACATACTGATCTGTACACTCTTTTTTTTTTGCTCTGTTTCATTCTGCTTTTTTTTATATGACTGATAAAAAAATTTTGAAACAACTGTTTACATCTCTGTTCCTTCCTCTCAAACTTTGTCTTTGTAACTAACACCTTTTACTAGCACTTGGTAAGTCTCTCTTATGCGCTGCCACCAATTAATCTTATAGGACAGAAATTTTATTTCTCTGTTGTTTCACTGAGGAAAATGCAGACACTTTTATGAAAAGGTTGCTTGATTTTCTAAAAGAGGTTCTTAAAGTTCTGCTTCTAGTGTGACACCTTAAGAAGCAATTAACTGAGTTGGGAATACAGATCTGCTTGGCTTTCATTAGGTATGTGCTGGATGCTTTTGGAGATCCTTCCAAGTCTCCTTGTGAAGCCTTTTTTACCATCTACATAAAAGATCAATTTTCTAAAAGTGATAAGCACCCCACAAGACTCACTGGAAAAACAGGAAGCTCCATTAATATTAAGAGTTTATGAAAGTTATACCACTTGCATAGGATGAAACATTGAACATTAGTTTCAAAAATCTTTCTGGTTGGCTTTTGCTCCAAAGGATTTGTGGATGGTTTCTGCACTCACTCAATGACCATTGTAGTTGCAGGAAAAGTAGGATAAGAGACATAAGGATTTTAGAAAAACAAGCTACAAGTTTCAGTGCCTGGTCCTACTCCTTCTGATATTTGCAGAGGGTTTTTTTCTGCAGTTTCTTAAGCAAACACCTCTTTCCTATTTCCATTCTCCACTGAACACGCACTCAAGTCTGAAAGCCAGTCTGCCCTTCCAGATTTCATTACAACTCCATTTTTGTTGGAATTGTAAACCCAAGCACTATATGTGCCTGAAATAGCCTGTAAGCTCTTCAGGGCAAAAGGAAAAAAAAAAAAAAAGTCTTTCATATGTTTGTTTGGAACCAGGCATTTCACATGGTAAATGTTGCTACTATTCATAGCAATAGTAATAAATGCACCATACCGCCCTTGACATCATTGGTGTTATTGGATAATCTGTGCTGATGCTTAGCATTTGCCTCACATAATCTTTCCCTTTATTATTTATGTATTATCAGATTTGCTGTCAAGATTCATACACATAGTTACGACAGCTTATCCTGCAAGATCTGCTGTGATACGTGGCCACTGAAGGCAACACTAACCCTTTTAGTGTGCATTCTATTTCTGCATCTCCTTTGGATGCCTGGGATATTTAAATTAAAAAAAAAAAAGTAATATTCCATTAAATGGGTGCAATAGGAGTCTGAAATTTATAACTGTACAGGCTCAGTGAAGCCAGTTAGGAAACAGAAGAATAACCAAAGCTGTGGTCACACAAAGTATAAGCTAGGTCTTCAGGAGCAAATCTGAACAAGTCTTGGAAAAATCAAGGAGATATCTGGCTTTTAAGTGGCTAAATTCAGCTCTGCTAATTTTTGACATTTTCTTTTGACCTGAATTGTTAATTCAACAGGCTTAACCTGAGATCTGGAAGGTGAACTGCTGTCTTTCTGGGCTTTGCCTCGTTATTCTTAATGACAGTCCTGCACCTGGGAATTGTGTAAAAATCAAATGTACAGTTTCAGCCAGGCTCACAGCCCCGTGAAACTCTTCACTGTTAACACAGCTAAACACCAACAGAAGATTCTGTAATGCAAGCCTTGGAATGACACATAGTAAACTTACTTACTGCATTTGTATTTCAGCCCCTTTTTAATACAATGCTTCGAGGTAAACAGTGAATTCCCACTTCCTTGTTAAAAGATATCCATAGCAGAAACAGCTGTTGATAAACTGCAAAATCAGTCAAGTTTTTAACAGTCTCTGGGCAAGACTGGTGATGACTGGAAGTGCACATCTGCTGGACTGTGGGACATGACTTTGCATTTTAGAGAAGTTTGGCAAATCACAGAATAGGAATAGACACCAACTGTAAACCTTCTTATGGTCTCAAAGAGAGACTGCAGCACTAACTCAGTGTGTGGATACAGCCACCTGCCCAAACCCTTGGTTTTTCATTGGCAGACTTGGACTAATCATAACATTTCCAAGGCTACTTGGTAGAGGTAAACATGCATGTAAATCCATATGTTTAAGGAAGCCCTTGAACTTCACATCCAGTTCTAGGCTACTGCTTCAATGCATTCTTCAGTAGCTACATGAATCTTTCCTGATACAGTTAAAAAGTCTTATTTCTGACACTATGACAAACACATTAATATTTATTATTAAAATTTATGGTCAAGATTAAAGTATTTAGAAGACTGTAAACAGAAGGATTAAAGGAGTATTAGGTAGTGAATACAGGAGGAACTACACAAATGACATTTAAATATAGTCTGCTATGATTTTAAGCACAGCACAGGATGGACTAGACAGGAACAAATTAAAGAAATGAAGCTAAAAGGTTAAGATTTGGATTAAGCTATTAACTAAACTGTTAATATTATTTTACAACATCCATTTATGACGTACTCTTTCTATCATCCTCTAAATGTCCTCCTTTTCTCATTCCTCATCACCCTTTCTGCACTGACACTGAAACAATCCCTAGACACATCATAAAAGTAGACAGATGATTAGATTTTAGTTGGCAAGGAATTCAAATGAACTTCACACTTACAATTTTGGGATGCTGCCTGGATACACAATGGTACACAACTGTGGCTTACAAAGTAGCTTGGAGCCCTCAGTTAACATTAACAAGAACAGCATGTATGTAAGGGAACAGCAAGGACCAGAACAGATAACACCCAGTGTGTCCCAGCAGAATCCTGAGTGGCTGGGACAGAGATCTGCAATCACCTTGGCACCCCAGGCTCTGGGGGTGTACATAGCACCCATTCTGTGCACAAACGAGGAATGGTGCTGAGCTGGGGGGCAAATTTCTTACTCCTTACTCATATAAAACCATCCAACAGTCCATCTTGAGAAATGCTAAAATCAAAATATGACTTGAGGTCTAAATTTCAGGCCATGGGCCAGTAACCAGTGTCAAACCCCCACCACTATCTGTCTCTGATAGGGCTGCACTGGGCAAGCTGAGTCATTTTCTTCCATGTTAAGAACTCTCTGTTTTGTAGCTGCCCCTTAAATAACAGGAGGTTGTCAGGATTCTTTGCACACACTATTTTTAAAGCAGAAGTGCAGGATCCAGCTCCCAATCCAGTTAACTTGCTCTTATTCCAGTTAAATCCATTGCAAACATTCAGTTGAAACCGGTATGAGCAGAAGTGGATCCACAGTGATGCACTGCAGGGCCCACTAGCTTGTTGGATTTACTCCATGGAAAACTCCTGTCTGTACAGCTTTGGCTAAATATTTAGTATACCTGTCTCAATTGAATCTTCCTAAATGTCAGCACATCCCATTGTTTTTCCAATATAAAGTCACTAGGAGACACATGCCAGGTTGAGCATGCCATTTACTCAAAATGAAACCCTTCATTATGCAAGATTAACTTTGGCATTAGGTACCTTTTGCAGCTAATTATTTTGTAATTTTAATTTTAAACCGGGCTTCCCGTGTGTTTACTCTGAAAGCCAGATATAGTGCCTTACATATCATTTGTTTTCATTTCATTTTAATGCATTAAAATACACGTCAAATTTCCGAATTTTAAATCCTATAGACCATAAGAATGTGTGAAGGACAGAATGTCTTATTATTAAAGAAATAACAGAATGTGACCTTGAATAAGTGGATCAAAGAAACATATTAGACCACTGATATAATCCTCAAAGCACACTGCATCTTTCCTACCTTTTTTCCTGAAGGTTATGAACTGAGAACAATTTCAACTAATAAAATTATAAGTATTAAAGTAAGAGGCAATGGGAATTATTTTCTTAGAAATTCTGTTTTTACTATGTGATCCAATTATTGTTATATTTGTTAAATTCCACAACATTCTGAGCAGAAATAAATACGCAGAAAATACTTTCCTCAGTGTTTAAGTTACTGCATTTTAAGGTTTAAGTTTTATCTATAGGTTGAGGACACTCAGTGAGTTCAGTCACTAAGCAATAACTGTGCTCAGTGCCACCACCAGCCCAGTTTCCAGAACGCTACCAGGAAGACGACCAGTAGGAATTCTGACATTCAGCATTCTCTGTTTACAGTCCCAACTCATCAGCCCTTCCCCTGCTTATGCATTTTCATTTTCAAATTCCCCAGTATGTAACTAAAGACAAAGAAGGAATTTTTCCCAAATAGTGAATCAAGTAATATTGTCCAGCAATTCAGTTTCCTCTTAAGAGAGAATTAAAATATTTTAAATTAATCAATTGCTAGAAGCGTATTGTAATTCTTTGTTAGGGCTCTCATTTTACACACCTTGAGCTTTATTTTGAAAGTTAGTTTAAAAACAATTTAAAAGTGCTCTTTAATAGAGACTTTCTAATGCAAACTTTTCTTAAAAGGACAAAACATGCCCTGGACTACAAGAGCAAGCAGAATATAAAAGAATAATTGAAAGTACAATGTTTATAAGCAATAGGAAACTGGCAGGTGTGTTTAAAAGGGGTTCTCTCTCATCTATCCAGTGCAGGACACAGAAAGTTTAACTGCAGGTTTGATGTGGGAACCCTGGGGTCAGATGGGACTTTGCTCCCCATTTCAGCAGAAGGCAGTTTTTACCAGTGTTAATGTGCTGTGTGGGACACTACAGATCTGACCTTGGGAACAGCTGAATGCCATTCAGCTGAAGGAAATTTGGAGCTTGAGGTTTGTGATGTTCCATACTCTCCTCCACAATTCTGGAAGAAGGATTAACGTCACTAACTCCCTATGAAGCTGTGCTATGTGTTAGCTAAGTATGCACTAACATGTTGCCGGATTTCAGGTGCAAGGGGTGGAATATCAGGAATTTAAGGCAAACAGAGGTTTGTATTTACCCATTCCGTTGCAGCCTCACCCACCTTAAACCTGGGGAAAAAGGTCAGCACGCCCAGAGATATCATGGTAGAGGAACTCTCAACACTCAGCAACAGAGGGGCCAGACTCTTCAAGAGGCGCCAGCGGAGATCTGATAAATACACATATGAAAATTATCATTACGTAGCAAACAAGCCAAGAAATGTGAGTATTTTGTACTGACTTATTAATGAGACAACAGCCAGGCTAGCTTCCCTTGGTGCCCGTGATACAAACATTGTGCATGATCTATTTGTAGTTTCAGGAAGAATAGAAGCAAAACCCTGTACTAGAATAAGGTTATTTGTATTTTATTGAGATCTTACATATTACTAAAAAAAAATAAATTTACATTTCTTTTTGTATGGTACAGATATTTCAAGATATTTCTCTGATCACTCAACAGAAGTTAAATTACACAAGGATAAAGTGGGATGAAGTTTGAGCTTTGATAAATCTGCCTTTTTAAAATAAATCTGCATAAGAGAAATCCCATATAAAAAAAAAATCTCAATAACTCAATTAAACACCCAAGGCTATTCTTAAACACTTTTATTTAGAAGCCCATCTGAATACTGTCCCCCCAATTTCTGCCTCTATTGAGTATTAGAAGCTACACAGATAAATTCTGAGCACATCACCAATCTTGTCAGAATTCTCTGTGCACTTCCATGATTTTGCTGCAGTCTGACAGATTCGTTTCCCTCTAGTCCACTTTGTCCCACAAAAACACAGAGTACACGTGGTGTACACTGAGTAGGACATTCCAGTACATGAAAAAATGATGCCTCTGGCTCCTATTCCCTTCCCCTAAGTGTCTATTTAGCCACCACTGGTGATGTCTTCACCATCGTTACGATTCTGCCTGCCAAAGTTAATCCTTCTAACGTCCTTCAGGATGACTGGAAAACATTCTGCCTTGATCTTTTTTTTGTTGTTGTTTCAAGTTTAAACACGTATTATTTGTTTGCTTTCCTACTTCAAGAAACTCTTACTCTAAACCAGCCTATATTTAAATTGCTTTTAGCCCATGTGTCATAGCTAAAATAAGATACTGACTTCTTATGAGACTCTAATTCTATATTTAAGCAACAATGATTAAGCTTTCGGATGTTTCCTTAGAACCGATAACCCGATAGGAGGGTGGAAAATAACAGCATATCATGAGCCTCCAGAAAGTGACCTGCACTGAAATTGTTATTTCTATTACAAATAAAGGAAAAGACAATCCCAAACAAAAGCAGTTCAACAAATGCAGTGAGTTTTCAACTGATACGGGAAGAGACGCTTTGAAGAATCGGTGCTTTGAAACTCAAAGGGCTCAAACTTGCCAGATTTCTGGAATCTTTAGGGTAGAAAGAGTGGCACAGTACATTTTAATGTCAAATTAAAAGCCACAGGGGACACATTTTATGGGCCTCCCTGTCAAAGTGACCAGAGCGACTCTTTGCTGTGAATCACCCAGCCCATATGCACGGGAGATTCTGTGGTGACTGGTGTAAGCATCACATGGGATGAACACTCTTCATAGACTGCTTATCAATATTTAAATATCCCAAATATAGGAAAACGTCAGACAGCTCGGATGGACGGTTGTAATTTAGGAATCCTGTTGACCTAGCTCAGTTTGCCTTAGGACAGTATACCCTGGGAATCAGACCTGGGCTGTGCACTGGAGTATCATTCCAACCTCACCAGGGAATCCCGGGTTGTTCTGCCTGTAAGTGATATTTCTTTCCCTCTGAGTACAGCGTGGGGAGCCCATCCCGAGCGTGAGAATGGACGGCCTCAGTGTGGAAGGAATTCCCCAGCACGCCCCAATGACACCTCCCAACACCCCCGACCCCCGGAGCCCACCACACCCTGACAACATTGCCCCAGGTAACGTGGCAGTTTACAGACATCGGACAGGTTTAGTTCCCATTTCATAGCAGAGAAAGGACCTTTGGATAAAACAGAATTTGTTAATAGAAGGGGATAACTTTGAGTTATAACTATAACTAATCAGAATCTCTCACAGAAAGCTAAAGTGGTGGTCTCAGTTGCTTCTGCTCGTTTGTAAAAGATCTGACATATCCTCTGTACTACTTCTCCCTAAACTGAAAACATACCTTAATATCAAGAGAGACTGCTCCCATATTTATTGGTCCTATAAACATTGAGAGATCCTCAGATTTAAAACCACATTAATATACTGAGTTTTCTTTGCCAAACCTTTGTTTCTAATACACGACAAACTGCTCAAAAGTCTGAAAGCTAGTCATTGTAGTTTAATTATCCATCAATGTAAATCTGAAGTCACTAAGTTTTGCTAGAACCCTTTGGAGAGAAGTAACTTTAAAAGGGATTTGCCCCTGGCTGCATAAACTGTTCTTTTTTAAATCCTTAACTGTGGGGGTACTGTTGGCTTTATTTAAAGCAGTGAGCTACAAGAAGGCCTTATTTTGTATTCTTTAAAGAGTAGAGAAGGCTAATTTGTTTTAATTAATTTATTCAGTGATATAGCCCTTCTTCCTGTTTATGAATTATCCATGAGCAGCCCGTGGTTTTTACAAATTCATTCTTTGTTCAGAATTACTCAATGCATGTTTTGTGCAGACCTTTTCCAGTCCATGCAAACTGGGTCAGTGCTGCTCTGTCAGTGACTGCTGAGGCTCTGTGCATCCACTGGGCAAATACAATGCAAACAGAGATCACTTCCATTGCTCAGACATGATACAAATCTTCAGGCCTTTCTTTAGGCAAAAAAAGTCTGGCAAAAGGAGAAGTTATTAAACCACAAGGGGTTTTTAAGCTTATAGAAGGAAATAAAGGTACTTTAAAGACTTAGACGTAGTGGGAGGGTAAAAGGGTAGAATAGATCTCCCTTGTATTTCAAATAAATATTGTACCTCACATAACTGGTCAGTCACTTGCTGGTTTTATTTCTTCAAACTGTACATTAAGGTTTGTCTTCCCCCACAACTTATTCCTGCCCTACTGTACTTGGCTTTAGAAGAAATCACACTGAATATGGAATTTTTTTATTTAGTAAAATTCTGGTCCAAGCCTGATCCTCAGATGATTATGCAGAGGGAACGACTGATTGTTCACTGTTTCAGATGATGAAAAGGACCAGAGAACCAAGTAGGCAGGACATTTTAAATCAAAGGGGAAAACTCCACTAATAATGACTGTCACCCAAAGACTGCAGAATTATCTTAGTTTTAATCAAAAGGCTGGTTTTAAAATCTTTTTGTTAAGTCAGCTCAAGGACTGTGTAGCTACAATCTGTTTTCAAACAAATGCTTACAACAGAAAAAAATTTATATAAACCTCAAATAAAATTAGCCTCATATTTTGGAGCAGTTATCTAAAAGGCTACAAATTTCCCCTGCCATCTTCCTGTTTCTGTGTTGCTTCAGCCAAGTGACTTGACCCAGCTGTTCATTTTTACCTGAGAAACGATGGTGTGTTAGTTCCTGGTTACACAGGATGGTGGTAAGGAAGCAGAAAACACCAAGTATCATTATAATGGGTTTGCCTTGATCCCACTGCAGGATATTCTGGACCACTGAAAGAAATTCCTCCTGAAAAGTTCAACACTACTGCTGTGCCCAAGTATTATCAGTCTCCCTGGATAGAAGCCATTAGAGATGATCCAGAGCTGCTGGAAGCTTTATATCCTAAACTTTTTACACCGGAAGCAAAGCCAGAACTGCCTGACTACAGGAGCTTTAACAGGTAATTCTGAATGCACATTGAATTTTACAGAGCAGAGAAAAATCACTGTGAAATAAAATATTTCCACCAGCTGTAAAAAAACACCTCCCACCTGTATGTGTGTATGCTCATGAACATGAACACACACACAGATTACAAGTGGCAAGACCATCAAGGAGGAAACTAGTCTATCTCTAAGGTGTGGGCCCAAAATCAGGTTGTAGAACTAGGAATATATGATAAATTGTTAAAAATACTGAAAGAAACTATCAGAATCAGTGTACTCACCAGATGGGAAATATGGGCTTCAAACTTCTTTCAGTATTTCTGTTGTTGAGTTCAGTAGGTACAGGACCATAAGTGTTATCAGAGAAACAAACTCTCAGTCAAAACTTTGTTTCTAAGATGTCTAATCTAACCCACTTTGTTTTTATTATTCTTTTATAATGCAACTCATGTAGCTTTTTTAAGGCAATGATAGTACAATGAACTTTAACCTGCAACCAATCCCTCACACCAAATAGTTTGCAGATTACACATTTTATTGCATTGAATACTTCTTGTGTCTTTGATAACCTTCAGTGACAAATTACCAGATAAAACACTGCTTTACTTACTAGCAACTAGTATATTAAGGCTTCCAGTAGGACTTCTAGATATATGGACAACACTAGGATTTTAAAGTTTTAAAACAAAATCTTATTTATGTAGTTTAGTTTCTTTCATTCCGTTGACACTATTTGTATTTATTGAGGTTATGGACAAATTTTCTCTAAACAACCCCTGCTGAGTCCCAGACAGCTGAGCCAAACCAAAACCCTTCCTCAAAACTCCAGACAGCAATCTATTGAAAAGGAAAATGGCTCATGGCAATACAAACTCAGAGAAAAGCCCCACAAACATCACTTGTGTTCCTGATGTTGATGTGAGTCTCAACCATGAGTGCAAGGACTAAAACATTACACAATTCACCATCAAAACTGGCACTGCAGACACTGCACTAATTGTGGTTCCCTAACAGCAACATACATTGCCATGTTAATAATTAAGTCTGTGTGGCACACTCTTCTCAGCACACAAAGTAGCAACCACGAGTCACTGAGCTGTGCCCCAGCTGCTAACGCTGGAACAGTAACAGCACAGTTTATGGACTAGAGTTATTGTAATTGAAACAAAATTGAAACAGAACAACAAACAGCCCGTGACAAAATGCCAAAGACACATATACATGGAGACAGAGTCAATTCTCCCTCTCACAAGAGAGATGCTAGTCATTACTGGGAAGGACAGGATCAGACAGGGCACAGAGACTCCTTTAACAGGGATATGTGTCTTGAGGTGGTGTCTGATGGCTTCTTTGTGGATTTTTAGCTGTCTCTGTGGTCCCATGTTCTGTTAGTTGTCCTCTTTACAACACTAACTGTTTGGATTTCTTTCTATGGGATTTTCTCTATGTACGACATGGCAGAACTGTGGCTCACCACAGTCTGAATTTCTTGAACATATGTGCAATCCTATAAGGGAAAGGTCAATATTATCCCTTGTAACTGCCATAAAAACCTGGCACATAAATCCAAATTCAAACTGTGAAATTGGTAAATACAGAACACAAACACATAAACATAATCCACCACAACTCTCCTTCTCCTGGAAAAAAAATTGACATCCAGAAGAAAATAAAAGGATGCCTGGTGGACCTAAAAAGCTGTTACACAGAACATGTTCAGATTTATGTTGTCCAGCAAGAAGGAGTAGATCCAAAAAGAAACTGAGAATTTGCAAAATTGAAATTCAAGATAATTGCCTCTTGGAGAGGATTTTACAGCCATGATTCAGGGTCTGCACTCCTAAAAATGCACAGGAGAGTGTCTGGTTATGGGATTCAAAACAGAGCACACTGGATGCCCAGCAAACCAAGAGAAATGGACTTCTCTGTCCAGATCCTCAGACATCCTGTGCATCTAGGTCACAGCATCCTTGACTTCTTTAATTGCAGTCTTGGAGAGAAAGCCAATGATAGTGTATTAAGCAATTACAGTGTGATATAATAGCACCACTGTGTTATCAGTGAGGGGATCTCTCAAGGCTTTTTATCCTGCTTCATCACTCAGTGAAGTGCCATTATGATTGTTGTGCAAAGCGCTGGCACAGCCATTGTTAGTCAGGAGGGGGTGTGGTTAATTGTAAGTGTGATGCACAGGATTCCCAAGGGAAACCGGGCTCAGATCCCTCCCGGATCGTTCAGTGGCGCCTGTTAAAGTGGCACTGGGACTTTACAGGCCAGTTCAGGTTCCTTTCAGCTTTCCTTGTTACACAACAAACTGTAAAAGCAACGCAACTTTAGCAGCGAGGGAGGTCTGATGTGTTGGAACAGATGCACACATGCATGGATTAAAAGAACAGAGATTAATTCCTATTAGGATTGAAGAAGTATTTACCAGTGAAAAGATTTCTTGTCTCTTCCCAGTGTGGAAGCACCTAGTAAACATCTGTTGGAAAGCAGCATGAATCTACATTTGTTGAGGAGTTTATAAAATTAGTTAAATTAGTACCTTTATTCCATCTGCTTTCTTGGAGCTGGATAAAATGTCAGAGGTAGGATCATGAGTAACATACAGAGCACTACATCTTACTCACATAGGACAAGCAAGTCTGACTCGTTCTGCCTCTCCTACCAGATAAATTCTCGCTCAGCTTTCTCAATTCCCAAAGACAACTCCTTCAAAAACACTACAGGAATCCAGTCCATCTGGACTGGGCTCTGTTTTTCTTGATTCACNTTTTGTATGGTACAGATATTTCAAGATATTTCTCTGATCACTCAACAGAAGTTAAATTACACAAGGATAAAGTGGGATGAAGTTTGAGCTTTGATGAAATCCCATATAAAAAAAAAATCTCAATAACTCAATTAAACACCCAAGGCTATTCTTAAACACTATTATTTAGAAGCCCATCTGAATACTGTCCCCCCAATTTCTGCCTCTATTGAGTATTAGAAGCTACACAGATAAATTCTGAGCACATCACCAATCTTGTCAGAATTCTCTGTGCACTTCCATGATTTTGCTGCAGTCTGACAGATTCGTTTCCCTCTAGTCCACTTTGTCCCACAAAAACACAGAGTACACGTGGTGTACACTGAGTAGGACATTCCAGTACATGAAAAAATGATGCCTCTGGCTCCTATTCCCTTCCCCTAAGTGTCTATTTAGCCACCACTGGTGGTGTCTTCACCATCGTTACGATTCTGCCTGCCAAAGTTAATCCTTCTAACGTCCTTCAGGATGACTGGAAAACATTCTGCCTTGATCTTTTTTTTGTTGTTGTTTCAAGTTTAAACACGTATTATTTGTTTGCTTTCCTACTTCAAGAAACTCTTACTCTAAACCAGCCTATATTTAAATTGCTTTTAGCCCATGTGTCATAGCTAAAATAAGATACTGACTTCTTATGAGACTCTAATTCTATATTTAAGCAACAATGATTAAGCTTTCGGATGTTTCCTTAGAACCGATAACCCGATAGGAGGGTGGAAAATAACAGCATATCATGAGCCTCCAGAAAGTGACCTGCACTGAAATTGTTATTTCTATTACAAATAAAGGAAAAGACAATCCCAAACAAAAGCAGTTCAACAAATGCAGTGAGTTTTCAACTGATACGGGAAGAGACGCTTTGAAGAATCGGTGCTTTGAAACTCAAAGGGCTCAAACTTGCCAGATTTCTGGAATCTTTAGGGTAGAAAGAGTGGCACAGTACATTTTAATGTCAAATTAAAAGCCACAGGGGACACATTTTATGGGCCTCCCTGTCAAAGTGACCAGAGCGACTCTTTGCTGTGAATCACCCAGCCCATATGCACGGGAGATTCTGTGGTGACTGGTGTAAGCATCACATGGGATGAACACTCTTCATAGACTGCTTATCAATATTTAAATATCCCAAATATAGGAAAACGTCAGACAGCTCGGATGGACGGTTGTAATTTAGGAATCCTGTTGACCTAGCTCAGTTTGCCTTAGGACAGTATACCCTGGGAATCAGACCTGGGCTGTGCACTGGAGTATCATTCCAACCTCACCAGGGAATCCCGGGTTGTTCTGCCTGTAAGTGATATTTCTTTCCCTCTGAGTACAGCGTGGGGAGCCCATCCCGAGCGTGAGAATGGACGGCCTCAGTGTGGAAGGAATTCCCCAGCACGCCCCAATGACACCTCCCAACACCCCCGACCCCCGGAGCCCACCACACCCTGACAACATTGCCCCAGGTAACGTGGCAGTTTACAGACATCGGACAGGTTTAGTTCCCATTTCATAGCAGAGAAAGGACCTTTGGATAAAACAGAATTTGTTAATAGAAGGGGATAACTTTGAGTTATAACTATAACTAATCAGAATCTCTCACAGAAAGCTAAAGTGGTGGTCTCAGTTGCTTCTGCTCGTTTGTAAAAGATCTGACATATCCTCTGTACTACTTCTCCCTAAACTGAAAACATACCTTAATATCAAGAGAGACTGCTCCCATATTTATTGGTCCTATAAACATTGAGAGATCCTCAGATTTAAAACCACATTAATATACTGAGTTTTCTTTGCCAAACCTTTGTTTCTAATACACGACAAACTGCTCAAAAGTCTGAAAGCTAGTCATTGTAGTTTAATTATCCATCAATGTAAATCTGAAGTCACTAAGTTTTGCTAGAACCCTTTGGAGAGAAGTAACTTTAAAAGGGATTTGCCCCTGGCTGCATAAACTGTTCTTTTTTAAATCCTTAACTGTGGGGGTACTGTTGGCTTTATTTAAAGCAGTGAGCTACAAGAAGGCCTTATTTTGTATTCTTTAAAGAGTAGAGAAGGCTAATTTGTTTTAATTAATTTATTCAGTGATATAGCCCTTCTTCCTGTTTATGAATTATCCATGAGCAGCCCGTGGTTTTTACAAATTCATTCTTTGTTCAGAATTACTCAATGCATGTTTTGTGCAGACCTTTTCCAGTCCATGCAAACTGGGTCAGTGCTGCTCTGTCAGTGACTGCTGAGGCTCTGTGCATCCACTGGGCAAATACAATGCAAACAGAGATCACTTCCATTGCTCAGACATGATACAAATCTTCAGGCCTTTCTTTAGGCAAAAAAAGTCTGGCAAAAGGAGAAGTTATTAAACCACAAGGGGTTTTTAAGCTTATAGAAGGAAATAAAGGTACTTTAAAGACTTAGACGTAGTGGGAGGGTAAAAGGGTAGAATAGATCTCCCTTGTATTTCAAATAAATATTGTACCTCACATAACTGGTCAGTCACTTGCTGGTTTTATTTCTTCAAACTGTACATTAAGGTTTGTCTTCCCCCACAACTTATTCCTGCCCTACTGTACTTGGCTTTAGAAGAAATCACACTGAATATGGAATTTTTTTATTTAGTAAAATTCTGGTCCAAGCCTGATCCTCAGATGATTATGCAGAGGGAACGACTGATTGTTCACTGTTTCAGATGATGAAAAGGACCAGAGAACCAAGTAGGCAGGACATTTTAAATCAAAGGGGAAAACTCCACTAATAATGACTGTCACCCAAAGACTGCAGAATTATCTTAGTTTTAATCAAAAGGCTGGTTTTAAAATCTTTTTGTTAAGTCAGCTCAAGGACTGTGTAGCTACAATCTGTTTTCAAACAAATGCTTACAACAGAAAAAAATTTATATAAACCTCAAATAAAATTAGCCTCATATTTTGGAGCAGTTATCTAAAAGGCTACAAATTTCCCCTGCCATCTTCCTGTTTCTGTGTTGCTTCAGCCAAGTGACTTGACCCAGCTGTTCATTTTTACCTGAGAAACGATGGTGTGTTAGTTCCTGGTTACACAGGATGGTGGTAAGGAAGCAGAAAACACCAAGTATCATTATAATGGGTTTGCCTTGATCCCACTGCAGGATATTCTGGACCACTGAAAGAAATTCCTCCTGAAAAGTTCAACACTACTGCTGTGCCCAAGTATTATCAGTCTCCCTGGATAGAAGCCATTAGAGATGATCCAGAGCTGCTGGAAGCTTTATATCCTAAACTTTTTACACCGGAAGCAAAGCCAGAACTGCCTGACTACAGGAGCTTTAACAGGTAATTCTGAATGCACATTGAATTTTACAGAGCAGAGAAAAATCACTGTGAAATAAAATATTTCCACCAGCTGTAAAAAAACACCTCCCACCTGTATGTGTGTATGCTCATGAACATGAACACACACACAGATTACAAGTGGCAAGACCATCAAGGAGGAAACTAGTCTATCTCTAAGGTGTGGGCCCAAAATCAGGTTGTAGAACTAGGAATATATGATAAATTGTTAAAAATACTGAAAGAAACTATCAGAATCAGTGTACTCACCAGATGGGAAATATGGGCTTCAAACTTCTTTCAGTATTTCTGTTGTTGAGTTCAGTAGGTACAGGACCATAAGTGTTATCAGAGAAACAAACTCTCAGTCAAAACTTTGTTTCTAAGATGTCTAATCTAACCCACTTTGTTTTTATTATTCTTTTATAATGCAACTCATGTAGCTTTTTTAAGGCAATGATAGTACAATGAACTTTAACCTGCAACCAATCCCTCACACCAAATAGTTTGCAGATTACACATTTTATTGCATTGAATACTTCTTGTGTCTTTGATAACCTTCAGTGACAAATTACCAGATAAAACACTGCTTTACTTACTAGCAACTAGTATATTAAGGCTTCCAGTAGGACTTCTAGATATATGGACAACACTAGGATTTTAAAGTTTTAAAACAAAATCTTATTTATGTAGTTTAGTTTCTTTCATTCCGTTGACACTATTTGTATTTATTGAGGTTATGGACAAATTTTCTCTAAACAACCCCTGCTGAGTCCCAGACAGCTGAGCCAAACCAAAACCCTTCCTCAAAACTCCAGACAGCAATCTATTGAAAAGGAAAATGGCTCATGGCAATACAAACTCAGAGAAAAGCCCCACAAACATCACTTGTGTTCCTGATGTTGATGTGAGTCTCAACCATGAGTGCAAGGACTAAAACATTACACAATTCACCATCAAAACTGGCACTGCAGACACTGCACTAATTGTGGTTCCCTAACAGCAACATACATTGCCATGTTAATAATTAAGTCTGTGTGGCACACTCTTCTCAGCACACAAAGTAGCAACCACGAGTCACTGAGCTGTGCCCCAGCTGCTAACGCTGGAACAGTAACAGCACAGTTTATGGACTAGAGTTATTGTAATTGAAACAAAATTGAAACAGAACAACAAACAGCCCGTGACAAAATGCCAAAGACACATATACATGGAGACAGAGTCAATTCTCCCTCTCACAAGAGAGATGCTAGTCATTACTGGGAAGGACAGGATCAGACAGGGCACAGAGACTCCTTTAACAGGGATATGTGTCTTGAGGTGGTGTCTGATGGCTTCTTTGTGGATTTTTAGCTGTCTCTGTGGTCCCATGTTCTGTTAGTTGTCCTCTTTACAACACTAACTGTTTGGATTTCTTTCTATGGGATTTTCTCTATGTACGACATGGCAGAACTGTGGCTCACCACAGTCTGAATTTCTTGAACATATGTGCAATCCTATAAGGGAAAGGTCAATATTATCCCTTGTAACTGCCATAAAAACCTGGCACATAAATCCAAATTCAAACTGTGAAATTGGTAAATACAGAACACAAACACATAAACATAATCCACCACAACTCTCCTTCTCCTGGAAAAAAAATTGACATCCAGAAGAAAATAAAAGGATGCCTGGTGGACCTAAAAAGCTGTTACACAGAACATGTTCAGATTTATGTTGTCCAGCAAGAAGGAGTAGATCCAAAAAGAAACTGAGAATTTGCAAAATTGAAATTCAAGATAATTGCCTCTTGGAGAGGATTTTACAGCCATGATTCAGGGTCTGCACTCCTAAAAATGCACAGGAGAGTGTCTGGTTATGGGATTCAAAACAGAGCACACTGGATGCCCAGCAAACCAAGAGAAATGGACTTCTCTGTCCAGATCCTCAGACATCCTGTGCATCTAGGTCACAGCATCCTTGACTTCTTTAATTGCAGTCTTGGAGAGAAAGCCAATGATAGTGTATTAAGCAATTACAGTGTGATATAATAGCACCACTGTGTTATCAGTGAGGGGATCTCTCAAGGCTTTTTATCCTGCTTCATCACTCAGTGAAGTGCCATTATGATTGTTGTGCAAAGCGCTGGCACAGCCATTGTTAGTCAGGAGGGGGTGTGGTTAATTGTAAGTGTGATGCACAGGATTCCCAAGGGAAACCGGGCTCAGATCCCTCCCGGATCGTTCAGTGGCGCCTGTTAAAGTGGCACTGGGACTTTACAGGCCAGTTCAGGTTCCTTTCAGCTTTCCTTGTTACACAACAAACTGTAAAAGCAACGCAACTTTAGCAGCGAGGGAGGTCTGATGTGTTGGAACAGATGCACACATGCATGGATTAAAAGAACAGAGATTAATTCCTATTAGGATTGAAGAAGTATTTACCAGTGAAAAGATTTCTTGTCTCTTCCCAGTGTGGAAGCACCTAGTAAACATCTGTTGGAAAGCAGCATGAATCTACATTTGTTGAGGAGTTTATAAAATTAGTTAAATTAGTACCTTTATTCCATCTGCTTTCTTGGAGCTGGATAAAATGTCAGAGGTAGGATCATGAGTAACATACAGAGCACTACATCTTACTCACATAGGACAAGCAAGTCTGACTCGTTCTGCCTCTCCTACCAGATAAATTCTCGCTCAGCTTTCTCAATTCCCAAAGACAACTCCTTCAAAAACACTACAGGAATCCAGTCCATCTGGACTGGGCTCTGTTTTTCTTGATTCACCGATTCTGAACTCCATTATAAAAATGCTGGGATGAGAGTCTCACAGGAATTTTGGGTGCTAACTTGAAGTGATGTGAGATTAGTGGAAGCTGGGTGCTTAGCCAGTTCCTTAGCACCTACAAACCTCTGTGGAATCAGCATTAGCTCTTGCCCTAAGCTCCCAGGAAGCCCTGAGCATTTTGCAGGGTCAGGTTCTTTGCTCCCATGTCTCCTTCTTGCGCAGAATTAACAATAAACAGAATGTTCTATGTTCCCATTTTAAAACCTGAAACTCACCTGTTTTGTAATTTTGTAATTGGAGACACCAATCTAATACAGTAAAGCATTTCATCAAGCTTTCCCAAATAATCAACTACAAGTAGGCTCTTATGCTGAGAAAATAAAATGTTCAGTAAGAAAGACCAAAGAAGAAAAAAAAGAAGTCCTGCTAAAACAACAGCTAAAAATAAACATGATTGTGCCTGCTATTGTTAAATCCTGCACCTACTTTTTAGGAATATGCAAAGTGAATATTAAACAATCTGGTACACTTCCTGGTGCCATTTCCTATGGCTCTGAACCAGAATTTCCACCCTCATTATGAGCAATGACTCCTGGAATTTTTTAGCCATGAGATCTAGGCTTCTGTATGATGAATCAGAGCTCAAGTGGTACAGCTGATGAGCACACAACAGAGGTCATTGCAACACCATGTTGTCAGACAAGTTATTGCTCACAAAAATATACCTAGTGCTGCTGTAAAGGAAAATTAACATCTATTAGCCAATTACTGTACTCTCCTTTCTGTCAATCATATGTGGCTCTGCCTATAATGCAGGAATGCACAGTTCACTGAGGCCAGACCTTGGACAGGAACTACACGCAGGTGTTTTGCCACAGAAGATATCTGAATTTCCATAAAACACCCTCCTGTTTCTGTTGCTTACAGAAACATGCTGTATTTAAAACCCAAAAGTACTACAAGGAGGATGTTTCCAACTACAGAATTGTTTTGCATTTTATACAGCTATTATTATTTTGTTTATTTTGATTATCCCTCTAATACGCCTATCAATGAGAATTAAATATCACAACAGTGAGAATGTGTATGGTAATTAGGGCAGCAATTAAAACAATCTTTATTATCCAGTTAGATGCATATCACTACATTCACTCTGTGCCAATTACCAAGCAATTATTTTAATCAGTATCATACGGTATCCATTTGACATTGTGACCTAGAAGACAGTTTCACAAGAAAAGCTTGATACCACAGGCCCTTTGTACAAACCATTTCCTTTGACCTCAAGAGAATTTAATGTCTGGACTGGCTGCCTCTGATGCAACATCTTGTCTTACCCTGACTTGAGAAACATTTTTAGAGCTTACTCCAAAGCAGAGTTCTCTCAGTGAGTGTGCATGCCCAGAACTTTCATGATTTTTTATATCTCACAGGATTGATGCTTTGGAGTTAACACCAGCCCCTTCAACAAATGCTGCTCATACCAAAATTCAGTGAATTATCCATGTAATGACAGAGCAGTGCCATTTCCTTTGTGTCACAGATTCATTTTTATGAACTAATCTCTTATTTTTGTGTGTGTCCTAGTCAGATCTTCAAACGATTCTCTTGGTATTAATTTCTCTGGAATTCTGCTATAATACCTGGAGCCACTGGAAATATATTCCAGCAGATCTCTTGTTCTGTACCACACACAAAATCCACTAAGGCTGGTGAAGATCCATTTCAACAAAAATTCACTTTCCCATGCCACTGCATGTTTGGCTTTGCAGAAATCAGGTGCAGCTTAAAAATCTGACACTCTTAACTGGCCAGAATATATCCCAGCAAAGTCATGCAGCTGATCAAAATGCAGAGCACATATGTTTGCTTATACAAAAGAGCCTGGAAAAAGTGACAGAAAAACTCAAGGTTGTTTTTTTTTTCAGCCTGAAACCTGCATATATAGAATAATCATAGGAGGTTTTTGGAAATACTGTTTTAAAAGATTTGCAAAATGCACATTAACAGTCAGCTCCAGTTTAGTATTCCTTATCTTTCAGTTTTTCAGGCTTATTGCCTGAGGGAACATTCACATTTAAATAACATGAAAAATGCTGGCCAAACAGTGTTTTAGGGCTTAGTTACATAAACATTCCCTTCAGAAACAAAGCTGGTGTATCAAGTCCTCACCCATTCCCCTCCTTTCCAGAGCCTGTTGTCTTTGGCTGTCCCTTTCTGCTTGCCATTACACTCCACTGCCTCCTCACTTATATTGCTACAATTGTTTCAGCATCATGAGATGAACCAGATTGCTGAAATAATTTGGATTTTGAAGCGCTCCTTTGTTCTGAAGGGTCTTTGTTTAACCCAGATCCCATAAGTGACCCAAGTTTATAGCACAGCCCACATACATTCTAACTGGTACAACAATATGGTGCTGAAATACAGTGCAGTGGGAAGAACAAGCAACTGGGGAGAGAAGAAAATGGGGTGAGAACTTCCTGAACTAATTACTTGCTAGAGAGAATGTGTCGAGCTACATTTTCAGACTTATCAACTTATCACCAGTAAAATAAGTTTAGTAACTGTGACTCACCAATGACAAGGTTTTCTTGCCACATCTTTTTTCTCTCGGCTCTTCCACCCATTTGAATTTTAAAGAAGGCTGAAGGCTTTATCTAAGGGAAAACAAATCAGATCTTAAAGAGAATTTCCCAGAAAAACAATACTTTTCCCAAAAGCTTGAAAAACTAAACAAGAAATTGGACCAAATCTGTATCATTAAAATAGCTTCTGTTCTTTTCGGCTCCTGGGAGGAAAACAAACCAGGTATTTTTAAAATAACATTTTACTTTTATTTCTCTAAAATCTACAGAGTTGCCACTCCCTTTGGTGGTTTTGAGAGAGCATCAAAGCTGGTTAAATTCAAGGTACCAGATTATAACCTACTGATGCTAAACGACCCCAGATTCATGATCCTTGCAAACCCTCTCGCTGCCAGAAGGTCCTTCAACAGGACTCCCAAAGGATGGACGTCCGAGAACATCCCTGTCGTGTTCATCCAGCCCGCAGAGCCCAACCCCGTTCCAGAAACAGAGGACCTGTGAGAGAGCCTGCATTCTACATCCTACAAAATGCTGGAAGCTGCACATCCATGTATTTTTGGTCCAAATATTACTGAAGGCTACTGACAAATTTTTTCCCTGGCAGCTGGAGTATTAAGCAATAATGTCTGATGCAGTGTCTCTTTTCTGGCACCAAGTTTCAGCTGTAAACACGATATAAATAAAGTCATTTGGAAAATATGACAGCCATGTTTTCTATTTGTGTTTACATGTTCTTCTTTTACTTCCTAAAATCTCTGCTTGTAACTTAAGAACAAGTGCATTGAGAAAAAAAAAAGTGGCAGGGCACTACTCTCAAGGGACTTGATAGGTCTGGTGATTTTTGTAAAACGACCAAGCCATGCCACAGCTCTGCACTCAATGCACCCCAAGTCCCACCTGCTCAAGATAAGCTCTGACAAATCAGCCTTATTTCCCACCCCTGCTTTTGGCCAAAGTTAAGAACTGTGTCATTAGTTCAGTGACAGAAAATTGCGGCCATTTTCCTCCTTTGTGATCTTACTCAGCTTTTACGACGGCCATCGATACCTGTGTCACCCGGATTTGTTTACCGAAAATGCAGTAAATGTGGCAATGACAAGGATCATGTAGTGCTATGAAAAACTACAGAGGTATTTCCTGGATGTCTTCAACGTTTGTATTAATCAGAACTGAAAAGCCCAGCAATGACTGGTTCTGTCAAACATATCAAAATAGTATCACCACAAATGCTTTTATTCCTAGAAAGAAATTTCATTTTCCCCTGCAGTCACAGTGTATGCTGGGACTTAAGAGCATGAGGGATTTCTTGCTCTTGATACAATGGCAAGTTGTGATGTTTTATAAATAAAAGTATATATGTTTTTCAAATGTGATTTTGAGGGAGGTAGTTGGCAAAGGAAATTCTGCCATCTATTTTCTTTAATTTACTTTGTCACACAAGGTGCACAAACAAATGTACAGGTCCTGAACAAATTTGTGAAACTAAAGGAAAAAAAAATCAGCCTCTTTGACTGAGAATGCTTTCCTAGCAAGGGATTAGTTTGGGGACCTTAACTGTGCTTGGTGTACAGTTATATGGACAATGACAAAAATATGAATTCTTCAAGGATAAAAAACAAAACTAATGAGGAGCAATGCAAACTTTAGTTTCCTATTTGTCCATGGATCAAGTGGCTAAACTCCTGACCTGTGCTTAGGAAGTGTTTGGGAGAGCACAACTGGCAGAAGGAGGGCTGGGCAATGTGCTAAGCATTCAGCAGCAGGGATCCAAGTGCCAGTGTCCAGGAATGTTCCCTGGCTGCATCAGCCTCGATGTTCCCTCATTGTGAAAGTCCCACTGCAATAAACAAATCTCTGTGCCAAAAACCAACTCCCTTTTCACCAAGGAAGGGCTGTTGGTAAGGCTGGAAATTTTCAGAGATTCTCTATTCACTTCAATGGGGTTTAGCACCTGCAATTCTTTTGTCAGATAATTTCACATAGCACTTGAAATGTATCTTATAGCTAGAGGAAAGCCTAGTTTTGGGTAACCGGTGACAACTTCAGAGATCAATATTTGTACTAATTTTTGTAGACAAAGAGATGGCTCTGAAGTGAGAGGATAAAGGTTTCTATAGTTACAGGTCTGGAAAGATCAACAAATACATATTTCTAAATTTTCAGTGGTGCTTCTAAAGGCTTCTTTTAGGTGTAACAAATACAGCTGCAAGGATAGTTGGAATGGAAAAACACACAGGCAACAGTTTTACACAAACACAAGGAATCACAAGTAGATAAGTAGTTCAGAAAATGTGCTTATAACTTCACGCACATTTTATCACAAGACACTCATATTTGCTTCCAAAAGAGAAAGGCACTGAAGACTATGACGAAAAGGCAGAAATATGGTGAGAATAAGTACACAGTCAAAAATATCTAGAAGTCTTTGTTCCCAAAGGGTTTTTTGCCCCATTTTTATTTACATTAAGGTAATTGCAGCAGTATAAGGGGAACTCAAAAATTCTTTAAGTGTTTTCACTAAAAATGTGGTGACTTGAGGAAATAGATCAGCTGCTTCCCAGTCCATATAAAATACCCCCTGATCACAGTATGTCAAAAAGAAATAAGAGATGTACAATTCTAAAAAGTTCCATGAACATAAGGGTTTTTTAAAACAGATGCACCTTAAACCTCTTCTGACGTGAAAAGTCAGGGTTCATGGCCTGGACTGTCTGGACTGGAGATTAAATTTTTTTAACTGCGTGCTCCCTTCTTAGAAATCTTAAATATGTCAGCGTGTCTTGGCTGCTTTCCCTCCTGCATAATCCATGCAACTGGCAATTGTGGAAATAAACCCCGATTCTATTGTCTCAGAGTATCCCTGTGTTTAAATTAATGCAATGCACATTGTCTCTATCAGAAGCAGGAAAAACACACTGGAGACGGAATTCTGATCCCAGTGGAATCAAACAAAGGTTTCGGCACTGACCTCTGTGCAGACAGAGGTCGTATTATTTCATCTCCAATGTGTATTTGTAATCAGAGTTATGCCATTGCCAAAGCTGCTATGTGTTCAGCATCAGAATGGATATGTTGGATTATAGAGCTGGGCCTAACTACATATATAGTTCATTTTGCACTATATATAGGGTGAAGTGCAAACAACCCTAATAATGCCTTAGAGCATAAACCCCCATATATGTTAGATTAGAATTTCCCATTGTGGGGTCCATAAACTATAAGCAGTCTAGACAGAAACACCAGAAGATCCCCACAGGGCTGACAAGTCACGTAGTGCTGGCTCCTTCATTATTCCCAGAGGCTACATACTGTTCAGAAACAAATAAAAAGTGATCTAAATGATTTATAAATAGGATGTTTGCCACAGAGCTGTTATGTAACCGGGTGTTAGGATATAGATGATCAAAAATAGATACAAAATGCAGTCAGCATACTGATACAGTTTAAAAACCAAAAATTGCACATAAAATACTCTTATTAAAAGGAATTTAAAAAGCAACTGAAAGGGTAGAATTCTTTCAAGGAATTAATATATTATTTTAAACAGCCTGCAGGTGAAGTGTTCAGAGTAGGTAAAAACTAGTACAGAGCTCTAACCTTTCTCTCAAAGAAAAAAAAAGTTACCAGGGTTTAAGAGTAGAATAGGGGTGACTCAGAAAACAAAAAGAAGAATAAAACATCACTGCAAGGACACAGCAATTAAACTATCCCAACACAAATAAAGGAAGTTATGACAGAGGTCTCCAGAAATGGTATGGAAAAGATGAGGAGGGAACAATAACACAGGAACAAGCTGACTCTTAATAAAATGGTAAGGAACCGACTGTAAAATTAACGGAATAAATATTTTTTCAAGGAAGGCCTAGTTGTGGGACCTGCTCCTATAGGATGCTGTGGGTCAAAACCCATGAATAACTTCAAAACAGGAATAAACAAATTTATAGTGGTAACTATGCCCAATATGGATAATGGTCACTGCGTGATCTGGATCTGGAAAACAGGAAGTTGCTGGAGGAAGATCACCATTTCTTTCTACAAATACCTTCTACCGGGCACTGTCAAAGATCGATGAAAGAAGGATTTGGCAGCCCTATGAAATCTGTTCTGTCTGTCTTCCAAAAACCATGTGTCAATTCTAGCATGTGCTGCTAGTACCGATGTTTACTAATTTACACCAAAATACCCATTGTGGGAGCAGTCAGAGGAAAACCAGTTTCCACGTGGGAATGGGAACACTTCAAGGTAAGCTGGAACCAGAGAAAGCCAGAGTTAATAAATCCTCCCACACAGTGTATGGGCACTGCAGGGAACACAAACCCCGAGCTCAGCTCCGCCTTTGGCAACACTCCTGATCCTCTGCAGGGACCTCACCCTCCTGCATCCACACTCACCATGTTCCACGTTACTGGAATGCACCAGCTTCCAGGATCCCAAAGGGATTTTTCAGTAAGTTACGGTTTTTCATACAGAGTTTAATACAAAGCAATAAAAGAGAAAGTTTCACTTTACTGAATAGAAAACAAGAAGAGTCTTGGGAGGAAAGAGTCTGAAAGACACAAGCTCGGTACCAGGCTCCATCACAGACTGGTTTAGGACATAACACATAAAAGTTGATCCTCAGTTTTCCCACTAATAAAATAGAAATAATAATGCAGGCTGCAGAAAGGGTTTTTTTATTGTTTGTCTGTGTTGGATTTTGTTGTTGTTGTTTTGTTTTGTTTTTTGCTTTTTTAATTTTAAAGAAGAAATCTCATGGTAAAAATAAAGAAAGTTAAAAAATAGGTTTACACAAGTACATACATAATATTCCAGGTTACAATTTATAATGAATGAAAGAAGCATTACTAGTAGAATAACATTCTACTTTCATTTTGGTTGAAATAGTGGATTTCATTCTACAGTAGGAAGATTCTCTCTGATAAAAGTTTCAACAAATTAGTATTTGACTTTTTAAAATAAAGATATAACTTTAGCTATTAAAAAGTCCAAGTAACTTCTTTTTTACCGTTATTTTTGGCCAAAACTAGAAACTAAATCCAAGAATAATTTACAAACCTTTTGTTTTCAGATGGAAATTGGATTTCCTGAGAACAGACTATTCATCCAAAATACCTGGCCCAGAATTTGCAATACTTCCCTACTTCACAAAGACACTGTGAGACAAAATTAAATAACACTTGCAAGAGGGGGAGGATTTATAAATCACTGCAAGAGTGAAAATAAGCCTCGGTATTGTGAGCCAAGTATTCTTTCAAAAGCAAATGGAGATTAAAATATTCGACGGTGTTTGTACAAAGAACAGCTTGAACTTTGCCAGTTCAGAGCTGGCTGTACTCATTAACACAGGAATGCCCTCAGGCTGCTTTGTGTGCAAGGTGTAACTCGGGACTGGATTGCTCTGGAGTTCTGGAGGACATCTGGACAGTCATCATCCGAAAAAAAAAAAAAAATAAAAGCTTCAAATCTTGAGGAGATCTCGGGTGACAGGAGGCCAACAATCCCCCCGGTGGGAAGGCTGGCAGTCATGCAGCAGTCTAGAGCATATCATTCGACTTCCTTTTCCTTTGGAAAGTTTCTCTGCACAGCCAAGTTACTCAGTGTAGGCAAACACTGCCTTGAAACAGTAGTTACTGTAGTCATTATGCTCAAGATTACTGAAAGATGACTATGCAAGATAACTACAAATGATTATAAACAAACATTT